TGTGTATATACTTTGTAGATTATAACCTAAAAAAATATTGAAAGTCTTTTAAATGTATTGGTGCACGTTGTTGTGATAAGATTCCGATTTTTTGCCTAAATTCTGTTAGACATATTTTTTGTTTGCTTTGTTTTTGGGGTCAGTGTAACGGGAGCTGCAGCTGTTGTTGTTGTCATTGTCGCCGTAACCGTCGCCTCCGATATGAATGACTTTTGTCACAAAAGTGCAAAGAACTTTTGCAGCAGGGTTTTATATGCATGTATGTGTAAACGATGATTGCAAATAAAACATTTGGAATGAATTGTTGTTTTTTAGTAAACTTTTTTTTGGGGATTTTTTTTCTGTTGTTGTCACAACGTAATTATTTTTTTATTTTTAGTTAATATATATCATTTTGAACGAACTGACTAAATAAAGCTATCAAAGGCGTTTTATTAGATGTCATGCATGGACAGGCTATATATGCAGTGAACACGGAAGGTCAGCTGATACATCCACGTGCTGTCAAATCACTTTCCATATTGAGATAATCAAAATCAGCTGTTTCTCAAGTGACTATCATTCTGAATTCATTCGGAAAATCTTAATAAATTGTTTGCCGAACAAGCTTATCAAAATTCACAGATTTCCATTTATTAATTTGTTTTATTGTTATTTTAAATTACAATATTTTTGACACTTTTTTGTAGCTGATTCGGCTACCTTATTAAAGCTGTCTTGGTATTGGGTCGTGTAACATATGCATTAGTTGCCAGCTGGTTGTGTTTTGGTTAAATTCACCACATGTAGGTATCTATAGATCGTTTATATACTTTTCATAATTAGATATTTTAATTGCAAAAGTTAAAGCCCGTTTAAAGGAAAATTTTAAAATCTTGTTAAAATACATTTTTTCAACCGCATTTACCACCATTTATGGTAAAATTAAATTAAAAAATGTAAAAGCCTTACAACAACAACAACAACCATTTATGGTAAAATTATATTAAAAATTACGTTACAAAATTATGAAATCAATGACATGTGTATGCGGTATACGTAAACAAATATCAGCTGACTGAGAACTTTATATCATCTTAATACTAGTTAAAATAACTATATATCCAGATATATTAACATGGTCACCAGGAAGCAATCGAAATCGCTAAACAGCTGTTATTTCTCCAGTTAAATGTCAAAAATGTTGACGTTATTTTCTTCGTCATAAGTCATTCACTATAATGCATTTTGACAGCAAACTTGTCAAGCATCTGATTTGCAGTTGGTCTCACTGGATGATCGTATTAATAGACCTTGGCACCTTTCGAGTTATTTTTTTACGTTTTGAACGCGCACAACAAATATATAGACCTTTGTGGATATGTTCACCAATATAGGGATCTATAGATCGTTTTTTAAAAATTTGTCATTCCGTTTGTAACGCCTCGAATCCGATTCTTCAGAGACTTCATACCTCGAAATCACCCTATAGAGATCTCAGTATTTGGGCAGATTTACAGAATATTATCATAGTAAAGTTGGAATTCCTGTATATATTCATGAATTAGAAATAACCCTTTGAAAAGCTTTAAAATATTGTTTGAAAGCGGAACGTCAGTCAAGAACCTTGAAAGTACCAACAAATGAGAGGGATCCGTTCATTAAAAAAAAACATTTAGAAAGTATTTTATCTTCCAAAAATCTCAAATCGCAAGTTTTTACCACATAGGATCGAAAATTCAACCAGGACCCTTCAAAATACCTAAAATGGTAAGATTCTTTTATATGTGGGCTATGTCAAATCATCAACCTATATTGAAAGGAGAAAGTATTTTATCCTCAATTAACAAGAAACTAAAAATTTCAGCCACCTAGGGTTCGAAAATTCGACCAGGATCTTCAATATGCCTCATTCCCCACCGAAGTCGCATTTGAAGGTTTTTGGCGCATTTTCGAAACGAAGAGATTGTAAAATTGCTTTCTGAGTTCTTAGAGAGGGAAAATGATTTTGCTGATAAGTTCCAATAAAAAGAAATTTTTAAAAATAGCTCCTATATAAAGGTAAAGTCCTGCTTTTATTTTATTGGAATTTTGAAGGTTTCAGTCGCAATTTCCCATCGTATTTACTGCAGATGGACTTTAAGGGTATCTGTATAATGTGGGACATGTTTGCAAAGTTATTCCGATATAGGCCTATGTTTTGACGAACCTCCCATATAAAGGTCCCCAACCCATTTTCGGTAATCTGAAGGTTTTAGCCGAAGTATCGGACCGAAATGGTTGTATTATTGATTGGGTTTTTAAGGGGTAAAAAACCTATCTGGAGAAAAATAATCGATATAGAAGATCCATATTTTTAGATAGCTTTCAATACAAAATGGGATCTATATCGACATTTTTTAGGTAGGTTTTTCAATATAGAACCATGTTTTAAAATAGCTCCCATATAAAGGTACCACCTCTTTTTCCTTTACCTCTTATAAAAGTACTGACCTCTTTTCGGTCGTATTTTCCCCGAAGTGGCTGTATATTTCTGGATTGAGAGGAACATGTTTGCAAGGATATTTCCTTAAAGTCATATGTTTTGACGAACCACTGGATCGATTTTCCGTTAATCTGAAGGTTTTAGCCGAAGTATACCACTTAAATGGCTGTTATAAAGCATTCTGGGTTCTTGGAGGGTAAAAAAACATACCTGGAGAAATCGATATAGGTCCATATTTTGAAATTGCCGCCAATTAAAGTTTCTACCCCATTTTCTAGTTATTTACCCATTATTTCTAGCGTTATTTACCCACCAACGTGGGCTTCTGAAGGTCAATTTTTTTACCCACCAACGCCAAATTTTTTTAAGTCGAAGCAAATGTTGTGTGTGGCAGTAGCAAACAAGAGTGTCAAATTATAATTCCATAACTCGAAATCGTTCCCATAAGTCGAACTTTTTCGAGTGATAGAAGTTCGTCTGTCTCTTATTCAGATTGCATTACCCATTTGAATTATTTTAATGGATGCAGGTTGTGGTTAAAATGTTTAAACCCGAACCTGTTAGTAATTTGGTATTTCCAATTCCAAAAAAAACTTCGTTTCTTTCACATTTAAATACTTCTTTCAATAATTGTTTACTCATCCATGTTTTTTCATTCAACGACAAGAAAAAAATCGGACATAATTCTGCTCCTCTAAATGCTGTCTCTTCTGTGGTAAATAGCCTCAGCAAAATTTGACTGGCTACCTCTCCTTCCGCCTCTCTATCTCCATAAAAATTCTGCTAGCAAATATTTTTTTGTTTGGCTACAATTTTATTGTTGTTTCTCATCTGTATATATTTTGTTAATCTTTTGCGGGGGGAGCTTTTGTAGGAATTAATGTTTGTGTGTGTGCCTGCGTATTTTGCCGCCTGCCACTACGTTGTTGTCCTTTTTGGTGCTGTGCAAATTTATAGACTTGTGTAAAACAAAGTTTTTTCTTTCATTCTTCGCTTTTTGTTGTATCACATTTTTTATTACTTGTTGTTGTTATTGTTTTCGTTATTTTATTTTCCGAAATGTGTGTTTTTCGAAAAAGAGGGTAGGTCAGGGTAGCGCTGGGAATTTTTGTGGCGTGTTTTTGACGGTCGTTGAGGCTGACTGACTGGCTGGCTGGCTCATTCGTTAGCTGTTTTGTTGTTGTTTGCTGCATGTTTTTGTGTCTTTCGTTCGGTTGGTTAGTTTTCTTTTTGTTGTTTTTGTTTTTGTTGTATTTTTTCGACGCCTCCTCTTCCATTTATAAATAAATAATTTTTTCGGGAGGCCTTCTTCGCATTCTGCCAAAACAAAAATGAACAACCCCATTGTCTGCTGCTTTTTCGTTTTGCCTTCTGGGCTTAAAAATGTATGAATGAATGCCATCGGCGGGACAGCAGGAGCAGCAGCAGCAGTACCACAGCGTCAGCATTTTTTGTTGCAAAGTCATTGAACAGATAATTTTATGGGATTTCTCTTAAATGATTTATTTACATTCATTTAAATGTGTTAATAAAAACAAACACCAACAACGACGACATTTATTTTTGCAGCTTGAGTTCAAAAAACTTGTCGCAAAAATTTCATTATTTTTTTCATGAATTACGGCTTTGAGACATTGATGAGAGTGGGTGAGGGGATATGACAAACTTCCTTCCTTCTTCTTCTCCTTTGTGGTGAAATTTTAATTGAAGTTAATAATAAATATGGGAAATTGGTTAGGAATTTGTTTTTATTTGTATATGAGTGCAATGTCAAACCTGTTCTGTGGCTTCAATGCATCCACTATAGCTTTTAGGAAAGGTTCCAGGAAAGTTGCAGCTCAAATTTCATTTGTGATGACTCTCTTGGCAACTGATCATTTAAATGTTAACAAAATACCTTTTTGATCTCATTTTCTTAGGTCCTGCAGATCTCTGGGTCCTTATGGCGGTCCATTATTCCATAATATTATTAAATATTTATTCCAGAGTTTTACAATTTAGTAATTTACAACCAATTAGGCTTCTCTCAATCGATAAATGATTCATTGATTGACATATGTTTTCATTTAGGGTTATGTCAATCGAAATATGACTACTATGCTAATTATTGTTTTTAATGACTTTTTAACGAAATTTCGCAATTTTTATAATAAATTTTAATAAAATAGACTAAGGAGATTAAATATTAATGTATTTTGAATCTACTTTACCCACCAATTATTAATAATAAACTATTTTTTAAAAATTTTTGCCACTTGACAAATTAGGTATGTCTAGATCGATTTTTGTCTAGTTGATATAATTAATATTTTAACTTATATTTTGATAAATTTAATTAATTTAATATCCTATACCGCGATATACTGCCTTTAGTACCAATGTGTTTTTATTCTCAATATTTTCTTCTTTGGAAGTTCTTTTTATTTATATATCAATATTGTATTAACAAATCTTTCCCTCTTCTTTTCAGAATCCAGCAACGTGAATAAAAAAAAAAAAAAATAAAGAACACACACACCTCCTGTTTAAATAAATTATGGATCCAAGTCGACATCACGAATATATAACCGCCACCAACAATGATGAACGTTCCCGAATTCATACATCGGCCGGGTATTATAGCCGAGATGTTCACGATATATCGCCACATCGTTATTATGGATCCACGGCAGCACAATCCACAGGAGGACCACCACACCCTGCAAGCACGGGGCCGCCTGCCCGAAGTCATAGTAACACCAGAATTCCCTGCGATTGTACAACAACACCCAGCGGCGCCAGAATTACCTGTAATAATTGTCGTCTTAATCCAAATGGTGAGATGTGGTCAAATGCTGCCGGCTCCTCGTCCGCGTCATCATCGAACTCAGGTCCTGCCGCCCATGAATATCATAGAGCGGGAGGAGGAGATTACCGCCAAATACCTAATGAAGCCACAATGCGTTCGGGGATGAGGCAAAATTCCATGTATATACATCAGCAGGCAACGCCCGTTACGGGTCCTCCGCAACACATGTCTTCTTCTGGTCCTATGCAACATCATCCTGGTGGTCCACAGCCACCACCACCACCTTCCAACTCCTCCTCCACCACTTCTCAAACAATGATGCAAAGCCACACGGTTAGTCGATCGGGCAGTTATTGGCCTCAGAATCCATCATCAACCTCGCAACATTATGGTGAAGAGCATATACATGGTCCAGGTCCTGGTCCTGGTGGCCATCATCCTCCTCCTCATCATCATCATGCAGCCGCTGCTCATCCGCCACCTCCCCATCAGGCCACAACTCAAACACAAATCGATATTAGCATAACAAGACGATCGTCGACGGGTGGTCCTCCTCCTCCCAGTGGTGCAACTATGGATGCTGGCAGCAGCCTTTATGGCCAATATAAGTCTCACCACTCCTCACACTCAGGAAGTTCCTATCCACCAACACAGCCCTCCTCAGCAATGGCGACGTCGACGCCGCCTATACATCATCACCAGCAGCAGCAACAACAACGTGTGAGTGCAATAGGCAGTGCTGGTGGTGGTGGATCATCATCCTCACCTGCCATGGTTGTTGGTAATACCCACTACATAACCAAGGAACAACGGGTATATCAAACAAAATACTCCTCCTCAACCACAACGACAACAAAAATAGCCTACAATGCTACGGCAACATCGGCGGCAGCTCTTTATGATGGCCATGCTGCGCCGCCACCGCCGCCGCAGCATCACAATAAAACCGCATCCGCCCTACCACCCATCGATCATCATGTTATCAATCCCAGCAATTTGCCTGCCTCGAAGGAGCAGCACCCAAGCCCCAATTATGCTCGCAAATGTCCACAAATGTATACGCCGGAGACGGCGGCAGCGGAGCAAAGTACCGCCCACCATCATCACAACCTGTACATGCCCACACCGCAATTTAGTTCGGATAAATTTTCAAGGGCCTCGCCTCAGCAGCTGTCGTCGTCAGCAGAGTATACGAAAATTAGGGAGAGCCCTAGTGGCGGCGGTGCTAGTCCCTATGGAATGCTGGCCTCTGATAAATATGGTCACATGTCACCCTCGTCCTCATCATCAACGCCTCACCTGCGGGAGTCTCCGCAATTTGTCAGTGGCGGCCCACCACCACGTAATTCCAATGCCTCGTACTATGCGGCGACAAATGCCACACCTCCGAACCACCATCAGCATCTTCCATCCTCGAAAGTACACCCACCGGAAATGTCTCCGATTATAATGAAACAATCGCCGCATCCGCATTATCAGTATTCTTCAAGAAGTCCCCTACCACCGTCCGCCTCGCACCACCCACACCACCATCATCATCAAATCCCTCCAGTGCCGCCAAGTAAAATAAATGCTTCGCCATCGGGGCCTGGGGCGGGTGTATTAGCGGCACCACCAGCACCTGCACCACCGCCACCCCAAGGAAACCCACCAGCCCATTCCGCACAACGTTACCTTATGGACAATGTGAAACGGGAAGATTTGGAAATCTATGAAAGTTCGCCACAGCATCACCACCCGGCCCGAGGGGCTTATATTAATCCCTATAATACCCCACCACCGGCGGGAGGTGATACGTGCTGTAAAGAGGTCGTACCGTTGTCCACATCTTCTTCGCCCTATACTGTGGGTTCTTCGGCCACACCCAATAATTATCGTGTGGAATCTCCCCAATTCTATAATACAAAATATGGCGGAAAAATGGCAGCGGGACTGGCGGCGGATGGCTCGAATAAACATGCCGCCCTACTGCAGCAGAATACCCCACCGCCCAGTCGGGCCCCTAGTCAAAGGGGTGGACATCCAGGACAACCTGCCTATTATTATGATGGTAATCCGCATAGTGCACCCTCACCGGCAGCGGCCACAGCAGCCTCTCCAAGTCCCTCATCATCGCTTCTGGCCTCCTCCTGCACCACCACCACATCACAAACCCATATTCATCACACCGAATATGTGACCACAACGTTGCAACAGGGTCCCGGAGGAGGTGGGGTTCATATGTCCGGACCGCATCCTCACAGTATTCCACCACCACAACAGTCTTCTTCATATCCACCCAGTCAACCAACTGGTGGCCAATATCAGGTAGCCTCCTTACGGAACAATGAAATGTTGGCATCCGCGACTGCTGCAGCTCCCTTACCTTATGAACGTGGTCCGATACATAATCATCCGCCTGGGGCTAGTAGTATGAAACATAGCCAGCCAAACTCCACATTGGTGCCGGTACAACAAAATGTCTCCTCATTAGTTCCTCCCAGCCATCAGCAGCATCATCCTCATCCTCCTCCGCCACATCACCAGACTTCCAAAATCCCCGCAGCAGCATCGGGGGGAAATAGTGCGAAAAACAAACCCAATTATCGAGAGCTGATTTCCCGGGAATTGGCCATGCGTAATGCCACCTCCGAAACGGAATTGAATCTGAAAATCATAAAAAAGACCCTGAATGTGGATTCGCAGAATATTCGGGTGCCTGGGGCGGCGGCACAACCACCAAATTTGCTCAGCAATTCAAGGGTGGCCCCGCCACCACCTCATGCAATTGTGGGCGGACCACCAGCAGTATCATTACCACAGCCCACTCCTTTGGTCCTTCAGCATGGCACGAAGCTGGTGAATCATCATCCAGCCGGGGCGGCGGCATCAACCACGGTGCCGGTTATACCCCGACCTGCAGAATCTTCTCGAATCTTTATAAAACAAGAGGATGATAAACCCTCTTCGTCTTCCGGTGGTGCAAGTGGTGGACCCATCACAGCCACCACAACCTCACCCTTGGATCTTTCCATGCGCACCGTCAAGACCAAGGCCGATTCGACAGAGTACAAATATCCGCAGCGGCGTTCTACACCGAATTTATCAGCCGCCACGTCATCATCGTCGTCTGGAGCCGAGGGCCGTTATACCTTGCCTCGGGTCGATTCTACACCGGTGTTTTCGGTGCATGCCTTTGAGCCGGGTGGTGCAGCCGTTGATATTACCGCCAGCAGCAGCAGCAGTCGGCGACCGAGTCCACATAATTCCCGACACAGTTCATTGGAGCGTAGCAGTCGGAATTATACACCACCCACAAGGGATATTGTTATGTCAGGGGCCACACATTCAAATAGCGTATCCCCCATAGGATCCTCGGGATATCCAGCAGCACCACCACATCCAGCAGAACGTCATCCCAGCCCCTATACAGGAAGACGTAGTACTGGAGGTGCGGGTGAAATAATGATGTCTTCAGGAAGTCCTCACATAAAGGCCGGTAGCATGAACTCTTCGCCGTCGTTGTCCTCTGGGTATGAACCTGCAGCCCCCAGTTCGTGTGTGATAAAGACTGGGCCTAAAATCGAAAGGGATGCGGTGGGGCCAATAGCACCCCATCATCGCCACAATTTACCGCCACACCAACAACAAACAAGGCCAAGTGTTTTGGAAACCAATCCCTATGCCAGTGTTATAAAATCCGAACCCAAGCCGAGGATACCCCTGGAGGTGGCTTCAGCATCTTCCTCCTCTTCTTCCATTTCAACATCGCATCACACCCTGGCCGCTGTGGAACGTTTACCACCCGATACCAGTATAATGCCGTTACCTTTGAAAAATGGTAATTATGGTCCGATGGGTAAAACTGTGATACCTCCAGCCCCTGCATCTGCATTACGCGAAGCTGGTCCCTCGCCTTCGAATACCTCACAGGGTTGTGAACGGAATCCCAATTTTAGAAAACGTCACATTCAAGAGTATTCACATCAAATGTCCTCCGCATCCTCCTCGGCTTCCGCATTGGGAGAACCTTTAAATAAACAATCCCGTTATTCGCTGGATTCTCCCAAGCCTCCCATAATACCCATGAGACCTGCTGATATTTCGGTTATAGCTGTCAATGAGTCCAATCAGCATGAGCTGCTGCTGAGAAATAACCCAGGTGGTGGGGTAATAGCCAGCAGTGGGGTCAAGAATCAGGCTCCGGTTATTGTGAATAATGTAAAGCACACATCCTTGGCTCCTCTACCGGTAGTGGATAAGTTGGAACCCTTAATGTCGGGGGTTGTGTGTAAACAAGAACCCTTAACCCCAACCGGGGTGGTTATCGGGGAGCCAAAACCCGAACCCATGATTACTCAAACCACCACAACCACCCCCACCAGCCATCAACCGCGTATCCGAACAAAAGCCGAACTTAAAGGTTTTACCTTTAATCCACCACCACCACAGGCGGCCAGCACAACAATTACCCCGGCACCAACACCCACACCCACACCACCTACATCTCAGGTGAATGAAATTGAAGGTAGTCCGATTAGGTCTGGGACCTGTGCGGCAGGATTATTAAATATCAAAAAAGAATCTCCAGCACCCTCACCGGCAGCAAGACCACAAACAACTCCATCACCGCCACCTCCAGCAGCTACTCCCTCGCTCAAAATCAAAGAAGAAGAACCCGAATCCACGGTAGAGGAATTAATTGCCATACCCGGTTTGGAGGAGGATTTTTCCGAAAAAAATCTGCTTGATTTTGGCTGGAGCAACACCTGCAATAATTTCGTCGAACAGCTGATAACCAAACCGGCCAAGAAGTCTTTAATACCGGGGCTGGTAAATATTAATACGGCTATAGGATCCGCTCCAGTAATAAAAGAAGAACCCAAGGCTTCAGAACCCGCACCTCCAGCCGCCGCTTCCTTGGAAAAATCGAAACTTAACAATGAAATCGCTGCACCTGATACCACCTCGCGGACCTCTTTTCCTCAACACTTTGATGGTGGTATGGATTCGAAATCGTCCTCCCTAAATCAAGACCCTTTGAATTCACCATCCTCCTCCACGGGTATTCTGCATAAGAAGCTCAATAAGTTGGGTAGGGAAAAGAAACGCTACCAGCAGGAAAAGCGGTTGGCGGAACGCCTTCAAAGTAACAAGGATAGCTCTTCGGAAACGGAAGATGAATTGGACAAACGAAAGACTGAACGCCTCAAGAAGCCTCTGATGAAGGCGAAAAATAAACTCAAGTCCAAGCCCAGTAACACCACCAGTAATGAGAACAATTCCTCCTCGAATCAAAACCAAGAGAATAAAAATCAATTTTCCGATTGTGGTTCCGATTCTTCGTCGACGTCGTCGTCATCGTCATCAAGTGGTGGCGCCCAAACAGATAAGAAGGACAAGAAATTAAAGCCCACCACCCTTACCACCCTGGCTTTCAAAAAGGAAATGCCCTCGAAGTTACTGAATAACATGGAAAAGAAGGGTTCGGCGGAGGCCAAGGAAATTAAGGTAAAAGAGGAGAAGAAAGGTGAAGAGGAAGAAAAGTCAAAGAAGAAAGAGGAAAAAACCAAGCTACCTGAAAAGGACCCCAAAACGAATAAAATCGAAATTAAAAAAGAACTCCCGGAGGCGGAATCGGAAGCGAAAGAAAAATCTAAGGAAAATCGGAAAGCAAATAAGACCCCGGAGGATAAGGAGAATCCCAAGAAAACTCCACACAAAGAATCTGGCAAGTCGGCAACATCTTCATCAGGCTCTTCGTCGTCTTCTGGAGGATCGGCATCCTCATCTTCCGGCAACAGTTCCAGTGAAAGTGATACCAAGCAGGATCAATCAAGGAAAGACAAAACCAATACCTCCAACTCCACCTCGTCTTCCTCGCCAACTAAAAAACCCAACAACATTTCCGGCAAACCTGTAGGAAAATTTAAAATCGGTTTGAATACCATGACCCGCTCAAAGCTTAAAAAGGAGATGGAGGCCCAAATGGCCAATAGTAAAGTTTTGAGGAATGATAAAATTATACGGAACTCCACCACGAAAATCAAAAGGAAATATGTTCGAAAATATGTCAACACGGTGAATAGTTATTTGGAATCGGGGGGCCTGAGTCGAGAATGTGGGGTTATAAAATCGACAAGGCTCAAGGCCAAGTTGGAAAGGAAGGTGATGGCCTTGAATCATTTAAAGGCAAAGGATAAGAAGTTGCAGAACCAGAACAACAACAAAATTAAAAACCAAGGTTCCAAGGAAAGTGGCGGCGGAACCCCAACCAAAGGAGGAACAAATAAACCTGAAAACCTCCATGACCCCAATGTTTTGGAGTTATATCGTTTCAAACGGGCCCTCAAGGTACCTCCCAGCCTCATTAGTATTAAACATCCGGCGGCCCATAAAATTGCCGCCTCTTTGCCGGATTTGGAGCGCCATGCCTCCGCCCTGGATGCCAAGAAAAAGAAGAAAAACAATTTGAAAGCCTTGAAAAATGACAAATTAAACTCCTCCTCCGTGAAAACAAAGACTTCGAACTCCAATGAAAAATCAAGAGGCCATCCTGAGGATGAACCCATATCGATTATCGATTTGCTACACTCCAGGGTCACAAAAGCCTCTGGCCTCAATGTTAGCAATAAATCAACAACCACAACAGCTTCGAAACCCGCAAATACCCCTTCAAACACCCCGAAAAGTAGCAGCAGTTCCACCGCCACCACCACGACCTCCACACCTGGCGGTCTCTCCTGTGTAATTGGTAAAAATTATGCCAATAGCAGTAACAATTGTGGTATGTTCAGTGAGACATCGCAGACCACCGAGTCCAGTGAGCTACAAATGTTACCCCCTCTGAGGCCATCATCCGACGAGGATGAGGATGATGACAATGAATCGGCAACAAGTGGTAAAAAGCGGCATTTCAGCATTTTCGAGACCACAGTGCTGCCGACGAAAACTCGCACCGAATCCAAAATGCAACAGAAACGGGAAAATATCCGCGAAATTTTCGTCGGAGATGATCGCCCAGCCTCGGCACCACCAGAAATGACCCAAACTCCCGACAACAACGGCGGCCTTGGGGTAGAGAAAATGACCTACGAACAAACATACGAACAATTCCTGCAGAAAATGAATATTGTCATTAGCTCCGATAAGTCAGGGCGATTCAGTCGAACGGCGGGGGCACGAAAACTTCTACTCCCCACCTCACTGAATTCCAACAATTCCTCCTCTCTAAACATCAAACAAGAGGAAGTCGATACGGAGAGCACCAGTGTTATGGATCCCGATGAACTCAAGGATGATCAGAAGTCGGAAACCACCTCCACCATACGCAAAAAACGTGGTAAATATCTACGCCGCAAGGGTAGCTCAGGTTTCGATTATATACGTAAAAAGAAGAAGCCATCATCCTCATCCAACACCCCCGCAAATGCTCTTCACAATTCACACAATAATTCCAACAATTCCTCGCATCCGCATCACTTCTCAGTGAAATCGGAAAAAATGGATGCCGATGAATATGAAAATAAAGTGAAGACAGAAGATGATGTTAGTCGGGAAATACAAAAATGGGTCCTCAATAAAGGTGTCGGACAGAGTACAATGCATAAGGCCGCCCGTCAGGGTTATATCGATGTTGTGGTCTATTGTCTGGAACGGATGAATATGAATCCCGATCAAAAAGATAATGCTGGCTATACACCGTTACATGAGGCCTGCACCAATGGTTGGTTGGATATAGCCAGAGTATTGTTACAATATGGTGCTAATCATTCGGCTGCCGCACATTCGGGTATACGGCCGTTGCATGAGGCTAGTGAAAATGATCATGAAGAGATTGTACGTTTGCTATTGGCCTATGGTGCTGATCCGCTACTGGCGACATATTCAGGTGAGTTGGAAGGATGTGCAATTTTTATTTTAGACCCAATATCGAGTCAATCTGGGACAGAGGTAGGGACTTTGAGGCTCCCTTTACATCGGAATCGATAGAATATATATATGGAAGCTACAACTGAATCTTGGCACGCGTCATTCTAGATTCATTTAGGTATGCTATGCTAAATATAGTATCGATTTAGGACCGATTTACCCAAGATCCGAAGTGATTTTATATGGGACCTAAATCCAAATTTTAACCGATTTAAATCAAATTTAATTCACATCATTCTAGACCCAATTCACGACGATATGCAAAATTTCATATCGATCGGACGAATTTACAGTCCATTTATTCAAAATCGGAAGAAATTTATAATGGGAGCTATATCTAAAACTTAACCGATTAAAAGCAAATTTGGCACACTTCTTTCTAGACCCAATTCAGTCAACTGTGCAAAATTTCGTGTCGATCGGACAAATTTATGGTTCATTTATCCAAAATCGGAAGATATTATAAATGGGAACTATATATAAATCTTCATCGATTTAAATCAAATTTAATACACATCATTCTAGACCGAATTTAGGACGATATGCAAAATTTCGTGTCAATCGGACAGACTTAGGGTCCATTTATATGAAATAGGACGAACTTATATAAGGGGAGATATATCTAAAATTTAATCGATTTTAATCAAATTTAATACACAACATTGTAGACCCAATTCAGGACAATATGCAAAATTTCGTGTCGATCGGTCAAATTTAGGGTCAATTTATCTAAAATCGGAAGAAATTTTATATGGGAACTATATCTTAAACATAACCGATTAAAAGCAAATTTGGCACAAGTCATTCTAGACTTAATTCGGTAGGCTATGCCAAATTTAGACTTACGTCGCTTTATATGAAATCGGAAAAAAATTTATATGGGAGCTATACCTAAAGCTTAACCGATTAAATGCAAATTTCGCACACATCATTGTAGACCCAATTCAGGACGATGTGCAAAATTTCGAAACAATCGAACACACTTAGGGTACCTTTATATGAAATCGGAAAAAATTATATAAGGGGAGCTATATGTAAAATTTTAGCGATTAAATTCAAATTTGGTGCACGTCATTCTAGACACAATTCAGCACGATATGGCAAATTTCGTGTCGATCGGACAGACTTAGGATGCCTTTATATGAAATCGGAAGAAATTATATAAGAGGAGCTATACCTAAAGCTTAACCGATTAAATGCAAATATGCTACACATAATTGTAGAGTCAATTCCGTACGCTATGCTAAATTTCATGTCGATCGGACAGACTCTTAGGGTCCCTTTATATGAAATCGGAAGAAATTATATAAGGGGAGCTATACCTAAAGCTTAACCGATTTAAAGCAAATTTGGTACACATCGTTGTAGAGTCAATTCCGTGCGTTATGCAAAATTTCGAGACAATCGGACACACTTGGGGTCCCTTTATATGAAATCGGAAAAAAATTTATATGGGAGCTATATCTAAAACTTAACCGATTGAAAGGAAATTTAACATACATCATTGTAGACTCAATTCAGGACGATATGCAAAATTTCGAAAGAATCGGACACACTCAGGGTCCCTTTATATGAAATCGGAAAATCATTTTATATGGGAGCTATATCTAAAACTTAACCGATTAAAAGCAAATTTGACACACATCGTTTTAGACCCATTTCAGGACGATATGCAAAATTTGAAACAATCGGACAGACTTAGGGTCCATTTTTCGAGGTCTATATAAGGCGTGGATTTTTTAATTTTTTTTTTCGGGACCTAATTTTAATAAATATTTTTTATTTTATATTTCGTTGCAGGTCAAACTCCCTTAATGTTAGCTTCAAGCACAACAATGCGTGATATTTTAAATAATCATTTAATAGATGTACAAAGTATGGGACCTGAACGTAAGCCATGGAAATTCAATGGGCCATGGGAAATATATGGTATGGTTCGAACATCATATAATAAATATTTGAATTTTATAATTAATTGTATTTTTTTGTTATCCTATAGATCCTTCAGAATGCGGTTATAATGTTTTTGAGGGTGCCCCGAATCCATTGTGTGATACGAGCCGAGCTCCATTTTTACGTAAAGGTTCTTCGTTAATAATTAACAACAGCAACAACAATAATAATAATAATTTAATATTAAAAACTAAAAAGCAACAAGTGCTCAATACAACAACAACAAATAATAATAATAGCACTGGTGTGGCAACTGGCAATAATTCTCAACACCCGGTTGCCACACAAAATGGTCCAACTAAAGGAGGTGACAACAGTGGTACTACTGGCAGTACCAGCAATAATATCGATGCTTCAAAAGCAACAAGTGGTGGAGACACATCGTCATCATCACAAAAACAACAACAACCACATCCAACTAAAGGGGAGACAACAATAAAGACTGTTATGATGGACAAATGTGCAGTAGTACTCGATAAAATCGATGGTCATTTCAATTCGCTGCAAAAGAATGCAACTTCTAATACTACGACAACAACAACTAATTCTGCCAACAAGAACAACACATCTACTTCGACTAATGGAAACAACAATAAATCAGCTGATGATTTATTAGTGCAGGAAAATTCCTCCGACAGTGATGGTGAAATGTTTGAATTCGAAGAGGCAGACATTCTACTGCCACCACTGTATTTACTCAAGGACGAGGGTACCAATGACAAATGGGTGCTCCTGAGTGATTTGTGCAATTTACTTAAGGTTAAATCAAAGGATACTCTATTGAATAAGGTAAGGAACAAAAAACTCAAACCAAAATTAATAGAAGAATATTTTTCCGGGGTCTATATAAGGCGTGGATTTTTTAAATAATTTTTTTCCATAGCCTTCTATAAGGCTTGGATTTTTAAATCATTTTTACCAGGGCCTAAAAGAGCAAATTTTACACACGTCATTCTATACTCAATTCAGTACGATATGCAAAATTTCGAAACAATCGTATGAAATCGGAAGAAATTTTATAAGGGGAGCTATATCTAAAACTTAACCGATTAAATGCAAATTTGATACACATCATTCTAGACCCAATTCAATACGATATGCAAAATTTCGAAACAATCGGACAGACTTAAGGGCCCATTTATATGAAATCGGAAGAAATTATATAAGGGAAGATGTATCTAAACCTTCACCGATTTAAAGCAAATTTGGTACACATCATTGTAGAGTCGATTCCACACGCTATGCTATATTTCGTGTCGATCGGACAGACTTAGGATGCCTTTATATGAAATCGGAAGAAATTATATATGGGGAGCTATATCTGAAACTTAACCGATTAAATGCAAATTTGACACACATAATTGTAGATTTAATTCCGAACGCTATGCCAAATTTCGTGTCAATCGGACAGACTTAAGGTCCCTTAATATGAAATCGGAAGAATTTATATAAGAGGAGCTATATGTAAAATTTTAGCGATTAAATGCAAATTTGCTACACGCCATTCTAGAAACAATTCAGTGCGATATGCAGAATTTCGAGACAATCTGACAGGTTTAGGGTCCCTTTATATAAAATCGGAAGGAATTATATAAAGGGAGCTATATCTGAAACTTAACCCATTAAATGCAAATATGGTACACATAATTGTAGAGTCAATTCCGTACGCTATGTCCATTTTTCGTGTAGATCGGCCAGACGTAGGGTCCATTTATATGAAATCGAAAAAAAATAATATAAGGGGGGCTATGCCTAAAACTTAACCGATGCAAATTTGGTACACGCCATTTTAGACACAAGGTCCCTTAATATGAAATCGGAGAAATTATATAAGGGGAGCTATACCTAAAACATACCCGATTAAAAGAAAATTTGACACACATCATTGTAGACCCAATACAGGACGATATGAAAAATTTCGAAACAATCGGACAGACTAAGGGTCCCTTTATATGAAATCGGAAGAAATTATATTAGGGGAGCTATATCTGAAACTTAACCGATTAAATTCAAATTTGACACACATCATTGTAGAGTTAATTCCGAAAGCTATGCCAAATTGCGTGTCAATCGGGCATACTTAAGGTCCCTCAATATGAAATCGGAAGAAATTATATAAGGAGAGCTGTATCTAAAACATAGCCGATTTAAATCAAATTCGGTACATATAATTGTAGAGTCAATTCCGTACGCGATTCCCAATTTCGTTTCGATCGGCCAGACTTAGGGTCTATTTACGCAAAATCGGAAAATATTCTATATGGGAGCTATGTCTAAATCTGAACCGATTTAAAGCAAATTTGGTACACGTCATTCTAGACGTAATTCAGTAGGCTATGCAAAATTTCATGCAAATTGGACGAACATAGGGTCTTTGGTAGACTACATAAAATCGGGATTCTTTTTATATATCGAAATTTGAACCGATTCGAACTAAACTTGACGCAGATCATTCTGGACTCCATTCAGTCGCCTGTGCAAAATTTCGTGACAATCGGACATGCGTGTGGGGTATATGGTTCCCCATTTAAATGAAATCGGACGAAATTTTATATGGGTGCGCTATATTTAAATCTGAACCGATTAGAATTAAACATTATTGAAGGTCTATTAGAGGCGTGGATTTTTTAAATAATTAAGAAAAAATTATTTAAAAAATCCACGCCCTGGTAAGGCTTTGAAAAAATCGATTCTTTAAAAAATCCACGCCCTGGTAAGGCTTTGAAAAAATCGATTCTTTAAAAAATCCACGCCCTGGTAGTTCTTGAAAAAATATTTTTTAAAAAATCCACGCCTTGGTAATTCTTGGAAAATTTTTTTTTTAAAAAATCCACGCCTTGGTAGTCCTTGAAAAAATAGTTTTTAAAAAATCCACGCCCTGGTAGTTCTTGAAAAAATATTTTTTAAAAAATCCACGCCTTGGTAATTCTTGGAAATTTTTTTTTTAAAAAATCCACGCCCTGGTATTTCTTGAAAAAATATTTTTTAAAAAATCCACGCCTTGGTAGTCCTTGAAAAAATATTTTTTAAAAAATCCCCGCCTTGGTAGTCCTTGAAAAAATATTTTTTAAAAAATCCACGCCTTGGTAGTCCTTGAAAAAATATTTTTTAAAAAATCCACGCCTTGGTAGTCCTTGAAAAAATATTTTTTTAAAAAATCAAGGCCTTGGTAGTCCTTGAAAAAATATTTTTTAAAAAATCCACGCTTTGGTAGTCCTTGAAAAAATATTTTTTAAAAAATCCACGCCTTGGTAGTCCTTGAAAAAATATTTTTTAAAAAATCCACGCCTTGGTAGTCCTTGAAAAAATATTTTTTAAAAAATCCACGCCTTGGTAGTCCTTGAAAAAATATTTTTTAAAAAATCCACGCCTTGGTAGTCCTTGAAAAAATATTTTTTAAAAAATCCACGCCTTGGTAGTCCTTGAAAAAATATTTTTTTAAGAAATCCACGCCTTGGTAGTCCTTGAAAAAATATTTTTTTAAGAAATCCACGCCTTGGTAGTCCTTGAAAAAATATTTTTTAAAAAATCCACGCCTTGGTAGTCCTTGAAAAAATATTTTTTAAAAAATCCACGCCTTGGTAGTCCTTGAAAAAATATTTTTTAAAAAATCCACGCCTTTGGAATTTGGCGTTATGTAAAAACGCCTTTATTTGACCTCTAATAACAATTTTTTAAAATCGAAGCTTGTTGGTAGTTCTTGAAAAAATATTTGTAAAAAAATCCTAGCATTTGGTAATTTTTGAAAAAATATTTTTTAAAAAATCTTGAAAACTTTTTTTTTTAAATTTTGAAGAAATATTTTCTTAAAAAATCTTGGAAAAATATTTTTTTTTAAAAAATCTTGAATTTTGTTTTTAAATCTTGAAAAACAATTTTTTTTTAATCTTTTATAGGTCTTGGAAAAAATATTCTTTAAAAATCCTTCAAAAAATATTTTTATAATATATTTTTTATAAATTTTAGAATTATTTTTAATTTTTCTCTTTTTTGTTTTTTTATTTACAGATCTATCCCCAATCATCTTCCGCTGCGGCCGCCTCTGCCCACAAAAGTCTGATGCGTGAATTGAAAATGTCGGATTTCCTGGAGAAGGCGACATGTCTGCAACTTTTGTGCGCCGGTGAGAAACTCAATATTTGCGCATCAAAGGTTGTGCTAATCAAATACAACGAGAATGTTCGAAACTTATTAGGGGTCAAAACAATATTAATGAAATTTTAGAAAATAGGAAGACAACAACAAAAAAACACACACACACAAAAACAATAAACACACAAGTCTACAAAAAAAAATCGCTAATAAAAAATTAAATTCTGAAATGTAAACATGAAAATGAAGATGAAATATTCAAAATATTTTAGTTGATAAGCTTTAAAATATGACAACAACATAAAGAATATTAAGAAGAAAAGGAACAACAACAAATTGTGTGAGAATACCCATAGAGTAATGAAATTTAATTATTAAAAAAATTAAATAATAAAATAAAAATAAATAAAATTCATATACAATTTAGCATATATATACAATAACATAATATATATTTATATACTAATATACAGTATATATTAACAAAAAAAATATTTGAAATTAAGTATAAAATATAGTTTTTAATTTTTATTGTAGTTAAAAACAAAACCCCCAAATTATGATCAAGATTAAAAAATGATGGAAGTTTATATTTAAAAAAAAAATTAAATATTGAAATTACTGTATTATTGTGTGTTCTAATACATTAAAACAAAACAACACACGCTAAACAATAACAAAAACAACAACAAACAAACAATGTGCATATATTATTTTAAACGTGTTCTTTTTTTACATATATACATAGGTACATATAAAAACACATACTCTACACTGTAAGCGTAAAATTTTAGTTATTTTTTTCTATTTTTAGTTCATTTTTTAACACTAAAAACAATTAATTTTAAATTAAAAAAAATCATATTTTTAAAAAAACTAAAAATGAGCATCGAAACAAGCAAAAAGATTTTTTAAAAATAATTTCCTATCATTTTTATTTCTTTTTACTCCTATAACGAGCAACAACAAATTAGTTTTTCAATGGCCTTAATTAATAAAAAAAATTGTTATATAAACTAATGGCCAACATGTTATACATTTTTTTTAATTTCAATTTGTTGTCCATGTTCTTTTATTTTATTTTTTATTATTAAAATAGCAATAAAAAACCATGTAGCATGATTTAAATTAAATAATAATTTTAATTAATTAATTAATTTTTTTCTAAAGGCAATATTTAAAGGAACTTCTAAAAGTTCGCTAATTTTTAGCATTAATTTTATATTTTATATATAATATACATACACACAAACAAGCTAATTTTTATTATTAATATTATTTTAATTTTTTTAATATTATTATTTTTACAAAACTTATTTATATTTAATTAATTGAAAAAAAAAATACTATTTTGTTGTTAAATATTAAAACAAAAACCCATTACAAATGATGAAAATGAAGAAAAAGAGAATGAGAAAAATAGATATTTTTTTGAAAAAATAACAACATAGTTTGAAAGTGTGTTTTATTTCAATTTTTTTTTTTTGGTTAATTTTTTTAGTTTTAAAAATTTAAACAATGTTGGATTTTTTATTAATAAAATAAATCTCCAATTACATTAAATTAAATTCAACATTTCATATAATAACAGCCTCATTTCAGTGGTTTTGCAGTGTGGCCAGGCCGCGCTGATAGTAGTGTAATCACGGCTTTGCATGTGTTACACATGTGGTCTGTACACACGCCTAGTTTAAACAATGTAAACTATAAGTAAAAATCTATCGTGGAAAATAATATGATCCTTGTGTAAATAAGGCGTAGATTTTTTAATAAGGCCTTCAAAAAATTATTTAAAAAATCCACGCCTTTTATAGGCCTTCAAAAATTATTTAAAAAATCCAATAATTTTTTTCAACGCCTATAAGAGGCGTGGATTTTTTTTAATAATTTTTGAAGGCCTTATTAATAAAAACCACGCCTTTTATAGGCCTTCAAAAATTATTTTAAAAAATCCAATATTTATTTTCCAAGGTCCTGAGAATGCGTGGACTTTCCAACACCTCTCGTGTTGGTGTTACTGCTACCCCAGTGGAAGTGATGTGCGTGCGTTGACCTCACACCCGATGATGAGATCACCAATTTGCCCATCTCCTCCATTTAGCGGCACACTTCCATACCGAGCGGGTTAGGAACCTCGTAGGGGAGGTAGACGGCAGATACTATCAGGGGCTTCGAGGTACCCCTGACTGTCGTCATATCTCCATTGCTGAAATTTGGAAAGAAGCATTAAATTATGCTCTTTTTTGACAAGAATACACGTTCTTAACTTCTCTCCGTTGGATGCGGTCAAAGCCGTGTACTGTTTATCGCCCAAGCCAGTCATCTTACGGCTCCTGGATGAGCACTATATCAGTATTTGAGAAAGAGACGGGGGTCTCATCTAGTACCAGTATCCGTTTCGACAGCCAACTGCCTGAGTAATCTTGCAGGATCACTACAGGCCGTGGAGATTGAGTGCAGATCTTCAACCTCGCCAGGGTTTACTTCCCTCGTCAGCAAATGGGAAGACTCTCCTTGCTTCGGAGGAGACACCATGGTCGCTATCGTGTTTTTCACCGTATTGCTAATCACTGTAGTTTCCATTATGTCTTCCTCGTCTGACAAGGGCGAGTCATTCCAGAGTTAATGATTCGGGATGCTGTATGTGAGGTATTGAGGTCGACCATGGCAAGGACTTGGCAGCTAACCCTGAGTAAGCTTGTTGAGGCTAATGTGAGGGATTGAGATCGACCATTGCATAGCCACTTACCATGGCAAGGACACACTTGATAGCTAAGCCTGAATAAGCTTGTTGAGGCGCCCAGGTATCAACAACAAGGCTTCGTTCCAATACAGTCGGGACCCTGACTGCAAACCGTAGAACGCTGATGGGCACGAGGTCGCATGACACCCCAGCGTTAGGAGGGTTACTTTTTAAAAGGTAGTAACCCAGACCTTTGAGATGGTTATTTAGGGGTGCCATTCCCGCCTCGTCGGCCCAGGGATCATAGGTACTCGGTCATTTCCTCCGAGACTCTCGCCCTGAGCCCGCTGATTGTCCGCGACAGTTTATTTGTTATTCACAGCTACCCAATGAATAATATTGGGCTTCCCACTATCCGCAACCTGTGGACGCGTCCGTTAGCATTCAGCTCTGCTCTGCCCTTTTAAAAAAATATTAAAAAAAAATCCACACCTTTGGGAAGCATATTCACAGTAAATTTAAGAAGCATCTGATTTTCAGCTGGACTCCCACAGTGACCTTATTAATAGACCTTGATCAGGTTCAAGATCTATTAATAAGGTCACCCAGCTAGCGAAAGTCAGATGTTTTTTCTCAAGTCTAATGTCAAAAAATTGAACTTTGTTTACGTTTTCACAATGGAAGTCAGTTCACTATAGTGGATTTTGACAGTAAACTTTAGAAGCAGCTGGTCTCCCTGGATTTGCAGCTGGTCACCGATATTCAGCTGTTGTTTTTCAAGTCTAATATCAAAAATTTGTCTTTTGTTTACGTTTTCATAATGGAAGTCAATTCACAATAAGGTATTTTGACAGCAACTGGATTTTGAGAAGCAGCTGATCTCACTGGATGACCTTTTTAACAAACCTTGATCAAGATCTATTAATAAGGTCACGCAAAAAGCGATATTCAGCAGTATTTTCCCAACTCTAACATCAAAAACGTGGACTTTGTTTACGTTTTCATAATAGAAGTCAATTCACAATAATGGATTTTGAGAAACAGCTGATTTCCCTTGATGACCTTTTTAAAAGGCCTTGTTGAAAAGTTTTACGTATCGGAACCGACAAAAATGTGTCTCAATTGTGTTATAATTTTTGACTTGTATTAATTTTTGTTTTTTTATATAAATGTATCATTTCCTTTCAAACGAAATAAATAAATTTTAGGTTAGGTATCCAAAAAATAAAAAAAACACAACCTAACCTAAAAAAAAAAACAAAAAATAAGAAATAATATTTTAAGAGAAAGTGTGATAATAAATAAAGGTGCTAATAATAGAAAGAATGATATATAGATAGAAATTCGCAAAAGCAAAAAAGTATTGAAAAAACGGTGAGTTGTAAAGAAAAACAATGAAAATTCAGTGAGTATCAAAAATATAAATAAATAAACAAATAGATATAACAGAAATTAAAAAAGGAAATTATTTTTTAATTGTGTATTATTAAATGGAATAAATAATGTAAACAATTTGTGTTCTTTGAATTTAACTGAAATTCTAGTTTTATTATCAAAAAAAGAAAAAAACCCGTCTGTCTGACACATTTTCCATTTTGTACAAAATAAACAAAAAATTGTATATTTTAATGTCATTAATGAAATTTAATTAAAAAACATTTAATTTTTAATATTAAATAATAAAAAATTACATTAAATCTCAAAATATTATAAATTTAATTCAACACTTCATATAATAACAGCCTCATTTCAGTGGTTTTGCAATGTGGCCAGGCCGCACTGAGATAGTAATGTAATCTCGGCTTTACATGTGTTACATGTGGTCTGTACACACGCCTAGTTTTAACAATGTAAACAATAAGTTAAAATCTATCGTGGAAAATATAATCATTGTGTAAATTAATACATAATTTATGTAATTAATATATATTAATTTGTTCTACTATATATATATAAATAATACAGCCAAATTGTGAACTATTTTGTCAGACATACAAATAAATAATAAAAAAAAACAAATTAATTAATTACCAAACTAATGTCTATGATGGCAAAAAGAAAACATTTAAATAATTTATGAACAAAAATTTAATATTTAACTTATCTATATGTATATTTTTGAAAATCTGTCTCATCAAAATAACATACTTTTCACTTACGTACATTAATTAAATTTTAAGAAAACAAAAAATTATTAAATATTTAAAACACAATTTTCATTGTATTTTATATTCAAAAAAAACATACAAACAAAACTAAAATATTAAATTTAAAAACAAAAATGCTGAAATTTAATTAAATTTTCAATTGTGAATTCTTGGCAAAAAGGAAATAAAACAAAATTAATTAAAAAAAATATTCAAAGTGTAACGAATAAAAAATATTCATATATACAAAACAAATAAATAATATTGTACATGTCTGTGACCAAGGTTTAATTAAGAAAAAAAAATAACTAAATAATAATAAATATTATATACAAAAAAAAGATTCGACACACAACAAAAAATTGCAACCAAAAAATACAAAACAAAAATAACACAAATAAATAAATGAGATAAGAAAATTAAAAACAAAACGAAATAAAATAACAAAAAATATTTTCATAACCTATAAAAAAATTATGCATTATTTCTAAATAAGAAGGTAAGTGCCAAGATCTAAGGTCAACCAGCTGGCAAAAGTCAGCTGTCAGGTAGCAATCGAAAACAGCTGTTTTTTTCTCAAGTGTAATGTCAAAAATTTCGACTTTGTTTATGTTTTCATAATGTCTGTCAATTCACAATAATGCATTTTGACAGCAAACTTGAGTGGCGCGGATATCCAGCTATTCTCCCTGATGGTCAGCTGTTTTTATCTCAAGTATAATGTAAAAAATTTTACTACGTTTTCATAATGGAAGTCAATTCACAATAATGGATTCTGACAGCAAAATAGAGCAGCTGCTGTGATATCCATAGGTCTGGACAACTTTATTCATAGGACTTGGTAAGTGCTTTGTTCCCGAACTTTTTCCAATAGTACAAATTAATACAATAAATAGAATTGCACAGAAAGCAAAAACAGCTGTTTTTACTGCAAGTTAATGTCAAAAATTGCAAAGATATTTAAGTTGTTATAATGCAAGATCTATTAATAAGGTCACCCAGCGAAAGTCGGCTGTTTCTTTTTTCAAGTCTAATGTCAAAATATTGAACTTTGTTTACGTTTTCACAATAGACGTCAGTTCACAATAATGAATTTTGACAGCAAACTTGAGTTGCAGCTGATATCCAGCTGGAGGCCTCCCTGGATGACCTTATTATAATGTAAAGTCAATTCAAAATAATGGTTTTGCACAGAATTTTTTTGTTAAACAGCTGATTTGCTTTAAAATACAATCAATGATGCTGGAAAGTGTATCCAAAGGCCCGAATATTCGGTTACCATTATATGGGGGCTTTATCTAAAAGCAAACCAATATCAATAATTTTTCGTGGGGAGATTTGTTACCCAATGAATACCCAAATTATGAAATTACAGCCGATTCGGTTCATAAAATGCATCAAAAATCTCAAAAAAACCGAAACTTTTGAGTTTATCTTTATTTGGAGGCTATATCTAAAAATGAACCAATATGGATTATTTTTAGTTGGGAGATTTGTGACCTAACGAGAACCCAAATTACACAATTACAGCCAATTCGTCTTAAAAAATACGTCAAAAATATCAAAACATCGAAATTTTGAGGTTATCGTTATATGGAGGCTACTCCTAAAAGTGAATCGAAATAGATAATTTTTGGTTGGAAGATTTGCTATACCATGAGAATCTAGAATATGAAATTACAGCCAATTCGGCTGAAAAAATGTATCCAAAATCTCAAAAATCCGAATTTTTAAGGTGATCGTAATATGGAGGCTATACCTAAAGGCGAACCAATATGGATCATTTTTGGTAGGGAGTTTTACTACACCATGAGAACTCAAATTATGAAATTTAAGGCAATTCGGTTAAAGCATACATGCTAAATCTCAAAAATTTGAAATTTTTGAAGACTATATCTAAAAGTGAACCAATATGGATTATTTTTGGTAGGGAGATTTGATATACCATGAGAATCCAGAATATGAAATTACAGCCAATTCGATTCATAAAATGTATCCAAAATCTCAAAAATCCGAAAATTTGAGGTTATGGTTATATGAAGGCTATACCTATAGGTGGACCAACATGGATTATTTTTGGTAGGGAGATTTGCTAAACCATGAGATTCCAAATTATGAAATTAAAGGCAATTCAGTTAAAGCATACATGCTAAATCTCAAAAATTCGAAATTTTGAGGTTATGTGAAGACTATACCTAAAAGTGAACCAATGTGGATTATTTTTGGTATGGAGATTTCCTACACCATGAAAACCCAAATTATGAAATTACAATCAAATCAACTGAAAAACGGTATCTAAAATCTCAAAATGCCGAAAATTTGAGGTTATAGTTAGGTGAAGGCTACACGTAAAGGTGAACCAATATGGATATTTTTTGATAGGGAGATAAACATTTTAAATATTTTATCTATTGATTTATTGTAAATAATACAATTTTATATACATAAATACAACAAAAAATAAAAAAGGTCTACCTATCAATACAATTTCCTCTAATACGGATGTAATCGTTGTGGTGGTGGTCCCGCTGCTGCTGCTGCTGTATGGTGCATCATTGAGGATAAGGCTTGAGGTCCCGTTGCTGACAACGTATGTGGCGGACCGCCAGCATGTGTTGGTGGCGGTCCCATTATGTGTGCAGCCATGGTCATACCGCCACCAGGATTTGCCTGCAAACCCAAATGATGCATGTGTAAACTTTCATGATGGGGATGGGGTGGAGGTGGTGGAGGCGCTGCCAATGGATTTGGCGCCGCCGCTGTCATGTGATTATGATAGTGGGGATGAGGATGATGTGGTGGTGCCATTGCCATATGTGATGGATGTGGAGCCATTGGTTGTGGTAGTGGTGGTGGAGCAGCTGCCGTCAATGGCGTTGAAACCATTGTTGCCGCTTCCGTTTGGCCATGTCCATGATGGCCACCACCCACCATTGGTAAATTAACAACAATTTCCTCATCTTCATCATCGCTACGTTTATTCATGTTCGCCATTTGATGCAGTTTCCTTTTGTGGGCCTGCATATCGCGATGACGACTAAATGCCTTGCCGCAAACATCACAATGATGATTTTTAATACCCGTATGGGTGAGCATATGTTTCGATAAATCTCCGGCTGTGTAGAAGGATTTCTGACACACCGGGCAATGTTGATCCCGTACACCACTGTGTATCTTCATGTGGGCCTGAAAATTACCCAGTGCGGAAAATTGTTTCGAACAAATTTCACATTGAAATGGTTTGTAGCCAGTGTGGGTACGTTCGTGTATGTGTAAATTGTATTTTTGGACAAAACGTCGTGGACAATAGGCACAGCCGAAGGGTTTCTCACCGGTGTGTGTTCGAATGTGGGTCTGCAGTTGGGCGGCACATCGAAAGGTTTTATTGCATTCATAGCAGGTGTGCGGTAATTTGGGTAGGGGTTTTGGTCCACGTTTCTTGTGCTCCTCGGGTGGTTTACGTTGATAGCGGGAACGTCGTTTACTGGAATGAAAAAAAAAAACCAACAAAAATAATAAAAAATAAAATTAAACTAATAATCGAACCCCAAACCTCTTTTTCTTGGGACTTTTCCGTTCATCTTCTTCCTCATCCTCCTCAGAATCCGTTGAATTGCCCGTTGTATAGCCACCCTGCACCTTGTTATTCGCCTCCAAAGAAGGCCAATTCGTTTCAGTATTTGTCTCTGCATCACATACCCTGAAATAAATTTTTTTGAATAATTCTACATCTTCGTAATTCCCTTAAAACCTACCCATATCGATCGGGCAAACCCAAATATTGCCTCAATCGAATATCGGAATTTTCACATTCCTGTTTGAAATGGTAGGCCACCCCCAGACGATAGATGCAATTGTTGCATATCACCTCCGGCAAGCCATCCTTCTTGTAGACCCGTATCTTGGCACACATCATCATCATACTGGAGGGCATCATACTAAATTCGGTGCTATAAATTGAGGTGCATGGAACACCTTCCTTGAGGCAAATGCGACATATTTTGTGTAGATTATAGTCCATGGTGGGGCATTGGCAGATTTCCACAAAATTCTTTTGATTCTCCTGAGAGGATTTCTTTCTCTTGTTTTGGTCGCTAGCTGATAATTGCCAAACCAGGATAAATTTTTGGGCTAAATTAATACATTTTTCTTTATATAAAACTAAATTAATTATTTTTCGAGTGTAAATTGTTTGTTTACAAAATTGTTTTGTTGGTGTTGTTGTCCAAATACTGGTTATTATTTCAACAAATGACAGTAGTCGATTAGTGATAACAGCTGTTTTTTTCTTCTTCTTCTCTTTGGCACTTTACATTACATGAAGGGTGCTTTAGTCTTTGTGTTTTATGTGTGATAGAGGAAATGCATTTTTTTGGAAATTAATGGGAAACGACAGCAGATTTTTAAAAATTGACAAAGAATAGAAGACACACGAATCGGAATTTTGAAAATTTACTTCGGGAAGTAACCTAAAAAGGGACAATATTAATTCACAAATTACTGTAGTCGTTTATGTTAACAGCTGTTCTTGCTCTTCTTCTATCTACTTTATATTAAATTAAGGGTGATTTAGACTGGGAAAAAACAACGGATTATGAACGATTGGCTAAAAATGGAACACATGTGCATAGGAATATTGAAAATATACTTCAGATAGTAGCTTACTTCTTGCATTGAAGCCTAATGTGGCGTTCCATGTTTCAAAATATCCTCCATAAAAAGTTTCCCGCCATTTACAATATTTTAAAGTTTTTCATTCATATTTACGGCATTACGTTGGGCGCCATATTGTTCTATTCATGCCTCCATAGAAAGGTTTCGCGCCATTTACCATATTTTGAAGTTTTGCATTCTAATCTACTGCATCACGTTGGGCGCCATATTATTTCATTCATACCCATAATACATGGACCGATATAGCCCATCTGCAATATCAAACATACTAGGTTGTCAAGCAATGCAAAGCTTTATCATAAATATTGCAATCTCAGGCAGGCTGGACAAATCAACATAGAATTTACAACATGTGTAATACGAAAGAAGAGGATAAAGCCAGGCATCCTACCAATCCATTATTTAGCAATCCGTCCCTACTGTGAAAAAAATCTTCAGCACTTTTAGAAGAAGAGATCCAGTTCTTTGCGAAAAAGAAGACTTTTAGCTTTTAAATCCACAGCCTTTTTAAAAGAAGGCATTCAGCTTCTTAAGAATCTGAGCTTTAGGTTCATTTAAAGTGAACCTAGAGTTCCTACATACAAAAATACCTTAAACTCTTCTAGAAGCATACATAAATCATTTATATGAAAATAGAATTAATAGAAAATAGTTTATAGTAAGTTTACATTATACCGAATTTCGAGAACCCAGTGGGTTTGAATTGTCAATTCCCTTGTATATATGTCAAATAAATCCCCATAAAGTAGGTTAACCGGTAAAAAGTTGTAATGTATATGTCGTTTTAGTTTTTGCGTTCAAAACTGGATATGTATTTTTTAATATGACATAACCTATAAACAAAACCACACCTTTACTTTTTCTTAAATCAACATCATCTTTTTATTAAACACCTATAAACGTAATAACAATTTATAATTTTTGCCTTTTCATCCTTTTTCTCAGAAATAATATAAACATTTATCTCAAACAAGTTATTTACTGTGTTTTAATTTCGACAAAGTGCCGTGAATCAATGAAATTCAATAAATGAGTTAGTTCAAAATGGTTCCCTTTGTTCATTTCATGAATTCTCTACTGTGAACGAGTTCAATTCGTCACCACATAACTCTAACAGCTTTTTACGCACAAATTCGATTTATAGATCCCTAGTGTGAAGTAAGAAGAAAAATAATTTACAACATAAAGAAAAACTCATCAAAATTAAATCATTTATTTGATTATTTGTGATAAACAGAAAACGAAATGGAAATATTATTAATAAAATTCAATGTCTAAAACGCGGACACAAAGAGACGAGCAACAAAATTGACGGAACGGCAATAAGAAAAAAAGAATTTCGTTTTATTTTTTCTTTCCATCTTCTCTTACACATATAGAAGAATAAAGAGTCTCTGTAGCAGTCTACTACCAACAACAGCAACAACAACAAACAGTTGTGTTTTTGTGTGAGAGTATTATTGGTTGGCTGGTTGGTGGTATTGACTCTGACGGACGAGTTGCTGCCTGCCTGCTGTCGCCCACAAAAACAAAAGTAGAAGCAGAAAAAAAGTAGCCAGCCCCCTACGATTTCGGAATTATTTACATATTAAAGAAAAAAAAAAACAAGGAAAATACTGAAGTGTGTGATTGATTGAAAAAGAAAGAAACGCAAGGAAAACAAGGAAATAATTAAGTAAAGAAAATTGCAACAACAACAAAAATAAAGAACCTGGTTACAAAGGTTCTTCTTCTAAGCGTAAGAGTAGGAGAAAAAGTGGAAAAACACACACACAACAACAACATCCATTAATTTGTGAAAATATTTGTCCACAAATCAGAACAAGAAGCAGCAACCAGCAAACCATGAGTAGCGATGGGTCTTCCATACGCTTTAGCGACCACACACTTGACAAGGCCACCAAGGCCAAGGTAACATTGGAAAATTACTACAGTAATTTGGTGACACAATACGGCGAACGTAAACAACGTCTGGCCAAGTTGGAGGCCCAACTAAAAGATGAAAGTCTCACAGATTCCCAGCGCCAAGAAAAACGCCTCCAACATGCCCAAAAAGAAACGGAATTTCTTCGCCTCAAACGTTTACGTTTGGGTGTTGAAGATTTCGAGGCGTTGAAAGTAATCGGTCGGGGAGCTTTCGGCGAGGTCCGTCTCGTCCAGAAAAAGGACACTGGCCATGTGTATGCCATGAAAGTTTTGCGTAAGGCTGATATGTTGGAAAAGGAGCAGGTGGCCCATGTGCGTGCTGAACGTGATGTATTGGTTGAGGCCGATCATCAATGGGTCGTTAAAATGTACTATAGTTTTCAGGTAAGTTGTTGTGGTCGTGATACAAACATTAACACACACAGACGCTCGCAGAGCATCATCATCATCATCTGTGGTTTTAAGTTTTCGAGATTTGTTAGTGGGGGCAGACATACAAAATATCGTCTCATAGGCATCTTTCCATCATCATCATGAGCAACAATGTGTGATGAAGGGGCGTTTCTGTTTCGGTTTTGTTTAAACAAGGTCACTTAGCAATTAACACAAAAATTTTCTTCATTTTTTGTTTAATTTACATTTCTTCGTCTTTTGTTGTTGTTATTCGTATTATTAAGAAACAGAATACCCAGAATACCCTATCAGCCAATGACTCACAATAAATGTACAATTGTTCTTGTGTTCTACATGCAACTGCAATATGCCGCCTCTTTGGTATTGGTTGTTTTGGTATAGATGTATTGGATCCACAAAAAAAAATTATATGTAAACATGTTTGTGTACCCCACTCCGCCATGAAGAGATTATGGACTTGAGGGAAAATATTTTTTATACCCCACAGAACTATATTGGGAAGTTTTTATCAGTTTGTGTGTGACCTCAAGAGTTTAGTAGCCCTGCAACATATCGAACCTAGATCCAGCTTTTAGTAAACCAATCAGAGCATATCTCAAGTAGCCATAAATCGATCTAGTGTCCTCCAGTATGTCCATTTTAACCTATTATTTAAAAAATAAATAAAGTTACAGTGCAGGGAGTTAATAACCCAGTACCGGCGGCAATCGTTGGAGAGGTCACAAGCCATGTGACGATGTTTGACGATGGGGAATCTGTCGAGACCCCAGCAACGGGCATCGGCTCAAATGTTGGGAAGGCCCGGGTAACCTCAAAATTTTTGTCTTTTGAGGATTTTCGAAAAGTTTTTCAACGGAATTGGTAGTCAATTGATATTTTGGCTTCTGATTAAGTAGGACATATCCTTAGCAAAAATAACCTATATAGGTCCACGCTTTCCCAACCAAATTGGCTACAATTTGATATTTTTTGCTTCCGATTGTTAAACAAACCTCCTTACCAAAATTATTTATATCATTGTACCTTTAGGTTTAGCCACCTTTAACCTAACCTCAACAGTTTCAGTATTTTCAGGATATTAGACATAATTTCCAATCGAAATTTCTATAATTTGATATTTTGGCGTTTGATTGTGTAGTAAATCTCCATACAAAAAGTTATTTATATCAGTGCACTTTTAGCTATAACCCACATATAACCTAACCTCAACATTTTCGGTATTTTCAGGATATTGCAGAAGTTTTCTAACAGAATTTGCTGTAATTTGATATTTTAGATTCTCTAGGTATTGCGAATATTTCTACCAAAAACAATCAATTTCTTACGACCTTTAGTTGTAGGTCCCATATATCCTAACCTCAAAAATTTCGATATTTTTAGAATTCCGCAGAAATTTCCCAACCGAATTGGCTGTTATTTGATATTTTGGATTCTCATGTGGTAGCGAATCTTCGTATCGAAAATTATCTATTTCGGTTCTCATATAACTGTACGCCTAATTTTCGAATTTTGAACTAGCTTTCCAACCGAAATGGCTATAATTTGATATTTTGTCTTCTTATTGTGTAGCAAATCTCCCTAACAAAAATTATCTATATTGCGTCAATTTTAGATAGGGTCCACATTTGGCGGTATTCCGAATTTTCGAATTTTGGACAAGTTTTCCAACTAACATAGCTAACATTTGATATTTTGGCTTCTAATAGTGTAACAAATCTCCTTACCAAAAATTATTTATATCAGTGCACATTTAGCTATAGCCCCCTATAACCTAACCTCAAAAACGTCGATATTTTCAGAATTCCGGACACATTTTTCAACCAAATTGGCTGTAATTGGATATTTTAGACTCTCATGTGGTAGTGAATCTCCGTACCGAAAATTATCTATTTAGGTCCAATTTTCGGTATAGTCCTCATATAACCTCACCTCAAAAATTTCGATATTTTTAGAATTTCGGACAAATTTTTCAAACAAATTGGCTGTAATTGGATATTTTAGATTTTGATCTCCCTACCGAAAATTATCTACTTTGGTCCATCTTTCGGTATAGCCCCATTTTTTGGTATCTTGGCCAATTTTTTCAAACGATTTTTTTTTTTGAAATTTGAAATCTCTTTAGGTTTGACTGCCCATGTTACAGTATCTCCATATTTTTCGGTATGTGCTGATGACGACAAATTCTGCTCTTACGTTCAGCACTCAAATAACTTATCCATTGCCCTGTATTTTATGTGGTTGTTTATTATCCAAAAAATATATGTATGTATGTGTGTGGCTATGTGCGTGTTTGTTTTCGCGCTTTATTCTGGGGTTTTTTCAATATTTAGATCAAGATAACGTGAATAATTATTAACAACCAAAAACAATGCTGATGAGATTTACATTAGCACCCCTATCGGGAGAAAGTGTGTAAAAATAACATAAACAGCAGAGAGGAGGGGAATCGAAATCGGAAATAAAAAAATCTAAATAATTTTTTTTAAAACCCAGGCCTATAAAAAAATATTTTCCTATTTTTTTTTAATTTACGCCTTGTGTGGATCCTTAAAAAATATTTTCTGAAAAATGTTTTTTTTTTTTAATTTACGCCTTGTGTTATTTTCTTAAATTTTTTTTTAAATTTACGCCTTGTGTGGATCCTTAAAAAATATTTTCTTATTTTTTTTTAATTTACGCCTTGTGTGGATCCTTAAAATATAGTTTTTAAAAATCCACGCCTTCTAGGCGTCGTTAATTATACGCCCTAATAGTTCTGCAACTTAGATATCATTTAAAAATCCACGCCTTCTAGGCGTATGAGTAGCGTCGTTAATTATACGCCCTAATAGTTCTGCAACTTAAATATCATTTAAAAAATCCACGCCTATTCTAGACCTCAGAAAAAAATTATTTTAAAAATCCACGCCTGTTATAGGTCTCAGAAAAAATTGTTTAAAAATTATACACACATTTTTTAATCGTATATAACCTCAATTTTTCATCGTTTATTTAAATTTCTTTAACAATTTTTTTTTCTTTCCAGGATCCTTCAAATTTATATTTAATTATGGAATTCTTGCCCGGCGGTGATATGATGACTCTATTAATGAAAAAAGATACACTCTCAGAGGAATGCACACAATTTTATATAGTGGAAACAGCATTGGCTATAGATTCGATACATAAATTAGGTTTCATACACAGAGATATAAAACCCGATAATTTACTATTGGATGCGCGTGGTCATTTAAAGGTAACCTCATCTAATATTGAAAACCTGCAATTAAATATTAAATCCGATTTTTAATTTTCTAGCTCTCTGATTTTGGTTTATGTACTGGTTTGAAAAAATCACATCGCACTGATTTCTACAGAGATTTATCACAGGCAAAACCCTCAGATTTTATAGGAACATGTGCAAGGTAAAGTGGCAAATATTTCGATTTGATTTATTTATCCCTTAAATCACCGTTAATTTTTCTTATTACAGTCCCATGGACTCAAAACGTCGTGCCGAATCATGGAAACGCAATCGACGAGCCCTGGCCTATAGTACGGTCGGCACACCTGATTATATTGCTCCTGAAGTGTTTTTGCAAACGGGCTATGGGCCCGCCTGCGACTGGTGGTCATTGGGTGTGATTATGTACGAAATGCTAATGGGTTATCCACCATTTTGTTCGGAAAATCCCCAGGACACTTATCGTAAAGTAATGAATTGGCGTGAAACGCTGATATTCCCTCCCGAAATACCCATATCAGAAGAGGCAAAAGAAACCATTATTAAATTTTGCTGTGAAGCTGATCGTCGTTTGGGTTCGCAACGGGGACTGGAGGACTTGAAATCGGTACCGTTCTTCCGTGGCGTCGATTGGGAACATATTCGTGAGAGACCCGCCGCAATACCCGTTGAAGTCCGTTCCATAGATGATACATCGAATTTCGATGAATTCCCCGATGTTTCGCTAGAAATACGTAAGTGTGATGAAATTTTATTTTTTATTTGTAGAAGGGTCATAGATTTTTATATGTTTAAAGAAATCCAAGCATATTTCTATTAAAACGTGAAATCCGGCCAGATTTTATATGGGAGCTATATCGGAATATGAACCGATTCTAGAATCAATTAAGTACTGTACACAAAATTTCGTATCAATCAGTTCAACCTAGGGTTTTCGGTGAGCCATTTATCTAAAATTGGACGGAATTTTATAGGGGAGCTATATCGAAATCTGAAGCGATTTAAAGCCAACTTGGCACACTGCTTTCTAGACTAAATTCCGTAGGCTATATAAAATGTCGATCGGATAAATATAGGTCCTTTGGTGTGCAATTTACCTGGAATCGGACGAAATTTTATATAGGAGCTATATCGAAATCTGATGCGATTTAAACCAAATTTCTCACACATCATTCTAGATTCAATTCGGCGGCCTATTCAACATTTCATGTCGATCGGATTAATATAGGGTCTATGGTACGCCATTTACCTGAAATCCGACGAAGTTATATGTGGCAGCTATATCGAAATCTGAAGCGATTAAAAGCAAACTTGACATACGTCATTCTAGACTCAATTCCGTAGCCTATGCAAAATTTCATGTCGATCAGATAAATATTGGGCCTTTGGTGCACCATTTACATAAAATCGGACGAAATTTTATATGGGAGCTATATGAAAATCTGAAGCGATTTAAAGCAAGTTTGACACACATGTTTCTTGGAACAATTCATTAGGCTATACAAAATTCCAAGTCGATGGGATAAATAAAGGGCCTTTGGTGTGTCATTTACAGGAAATCAGACGAAGTTATAGGTGGGAATTATATCGAAATCTGAAGCGATTTAAAGCAAAAGCAAACTTGACACTCATAATTGTAGACATGATTATGTAGGATATGCACAATTTCATGTCGCTCGGATAAATACAGGGTCTTTGGTACGCCATTTACCTGAAATTCGACATAGATATATATGGCAGCTATATCGAAATCTGAAGCCATTTACACAAAACTTGGCACACATCTTTCTATACTCAAGTAGGTACTCTATGCAAAATTTCATGTCGATCGGATAAATATAGGGTAATTTACCTGAAATCGGGCGAAATTTTATATGGGAGCTATATGGAAATCTGAAGATATTTAAAGCAAATTTTACACAATTGTTTCATGGGTTAATTCGTTATGCTATACAAAATTTCATGTCGATCGGAGAAATATAGAGCTTTTGGTGAGCCATTTACCTGAAATCGGATGAAATTTTATATGGGAGCTATATCGAAATCTGAAGAGATTTAAACAAAATTTGATACACATGTTTCTATGGTCAATTCGTTAGGCTATGCAAGCCTTCATGACGATCGAACTGACATTCCGCCGGATTTATACGAAATCGGAAAAATTATATATGGGAGCTACATCTAAATTTTATATGATTTATACCAAACTTGATACACGTCATTCTAGGCTTACTTCGGTAGTCTGTGCTAAAATTCATGTCGATCGGTCAACCGTAGGAACTTTGGTGCACTATTTACAGGAAATCGGAGGTTATTATATATGGGAGCTATATAGAAATCTGAAGCGATTTAAAGCAAACTTGATACACATCTTTCTAGACTTATTTCCGTAGGGTATGCAAAATTTCATGTCGATCGGAAAAATATAGGGCCTTTTTTATATGAAATCGGAAAAATTTTATATGGGAGCTATATCTAAATTTTACATAATTTATACCAAACTTGGCATACGTCATTCTATACTTAATTCCATAGCATAAATTTTGCATAGCCTAATTTCATGTCTAACGGACAGCAATTTCGCTGGATTTACATGAAATCGGAAAAATTATATATGGGAGCTATATCTAAATTTTACATGGTTTATACCAAACTTGACACACATGTTCCCTGTGTCAATTCGTTAGGTTATTCAAAATTTCATGTCGATCCGACTGACCTACGGAACTTTGGTGCAGTATTTACATAAAATCCGACGAATTTTCATATGAGTGCTATATCGAAATCTGAAGCGATTTAAAGTAAACTCGGCATACATCATTCTAGACTTAATTCCGTTTGTTATGCAAAATTTCAAGTCGATCCAACAGACCTAGGGATCCTTTGCTGCATTATTTATCTAAAGTCCGATGAATGAGAGCTATATTGAAATATCCAGCGATTGAAAGGAAACTATGCAAAATTTCGTATCAATCGATCAAACATAGGGCCTTTGGTGCATCATTGACATAAAATCGGACATCGAAATATGAATTAATTTTAATATATGTATATATTTTTTTGTTGTTTTTATTTTTCATCCGCTAACTAAACATCTCACACAAACAAAAATTTCCCACTTTTATTTTTACAGCAACGGCACCCCTACCCCAAGGCAATGAAATGGCAAAAGATTGGGTTTTTATCAACTACACTTTCAAACGTTTTGAAGTGCGAAATTAAAACAAACCGAAAACAAAAAATTCTCGTTTCCTGTGTTAATTAAGGACATTGTGTTGTATGCTAAAAAAAAATTTACTTTTGCGGGCCAAAACAAAAAACGAAAACACTCTCAAAATAAAAAAAAACCCTTTTCCCCACCAATCATTGTCAAATAGACCGCTTACCCTGCCCTACCCTAAATTAGGAGAACCCAAGAAAAAAACGGAAGGGGTATAGATGTTTGTGTAACGGACGGAGAAAAACACACACACACAATTTGGCATTTTATTTCTATTTCTTCTCATCTATCTATCTTTCTCTGTCACTCTCTCTCTCTCTCTAAAAAAATTATCCTTAAGCTAATTTTGACAACAAATTTGTTTGAAAAAAAAGAAAAGAATAAATATAAATATTTTTGTTTTTTTTTTTCTTTTTTAGTTATTATTAATATTATTATCTTGATGATTATTACAACAAATCTGGCTGCTAATTTTTGTTTTTGTATAAATAAATTAAAAAAAGAAATGGAAATTAAAATAAACAAAAGAAAAAAATGAAAGAAGAATCACACTTAAATATAATAATAAAAGAAAAATAAATTGCAAAAATATATATTTATTAACCATATATAAAAATTGGTAAATGGTATTTTTTCTTTTTTTGTTTTGGAAATTGGTGGATATTAAAAACAAAAATCAACCCTATTATAAAAAAATTGGGAATATCTACTTATTTTGAATTTGTGAATGATCCTCATTTTTAGATGTGGGAAATTTATATTTCTCAAAATTTTCATAATAGGGGTGAAGAAGTAAAGTGTAGTCAAAATTATTTGGTCTTTAAAAAAAGTCCCTGCGAGGGTGATCCGCCAACTTTACAACTACAGTTTCTATTGTACGAAGATTGATCCTTTGCTGAAGACCTAAAATTTCACTTCATTCTATGAAAATTTATTCTCAGTGAGTTTTGATATCTGTGATGCCGTTGGGCGCCAGATTACAATTGTTATTTGAAAGAAATGCGGCAAAGCTCAATTCATAGATGTTGCCATTAGTTTCTTTCCCACGAACTTTTTCTACAATGCATTGTCTTGGTGATGATGGGTATATGAAAATAATTTTAGGTACTTTAGAGGCAATACTGAAAACAATTTTAGAATCGTTTCAAACATATCCGGTAGTTCATGTATTTTTTGTAAATAATGTGTCGTATTTATTATCCAATTGAGATGGAATTTGCCATGGCTCAATTATTTGACCTAAGAACGAACCCTATTGAAAATGGTGAGAATAGGTTCAAATTTCGGTATAGCACCTCTTGAAAATTTTGACGGATTTCATGTAAAAGCTGCACAAATGGCCCTATGTCTGTCCGATCGACACGAAATTTTGCATAAACTATGGAATTGATTCTAGAATGACGTGTGTCAAGTTTGGTTTAAATCGGTTCAGAATTCGATATAGCTCCCATATATAAATTTGTCGGATTTTATGTAAATGACGCACCAAACGATTTTATATTTATCCGATTGACACGAAATTTTGCCTACACTACTGAATTAAGCGTAGAATGATGTGTGCCTAGTTTGCTTTAAATCGGTTCACATTTCGATATAGTTTCCATATATAAATTCGTCGGATTTTAGGTAAATGGCGCACCAAAGGTCGTATGTTTGTTCGATTGACGCGAAATTTGGCAGAGGCAAATGAATTGTGTACCAAATTTTCTTTAAATCGGTTCAGTTTTCGATATAGCTCCCATATAGAAATTCGCCGGATTTCATGTAAATGGTGCACCAAAGATTGTATATTTGTCCGTTTGACACGAAATTTTGCATAGCCGACTGCATTAAGTCTAGAATGATGTGTATAAAGTTTGCTGTAAATCGGTTCAAAATTCGATATAGCTCCCATACGAAAATTCGTCGGATTTCAAGTAAAAGGCGCACCAAAGGTCTAATGTCTTTCCGATTGACATGAAATTTAGCATAGCGTAATGAAATATGTCTAAAATGAAGTATGCCAAGTTTTGTTTAAAGTTCGGTTCAAATTTCGATATAGCTCCCATACAAAATGTCGTCGGATTTTATGTAAAAGGTGCACCAAAGGTGTTATGACTTTCCGATCGACACCAAATTTGACATAGACTAAGGAATTGATTTTAGAGTGAGGTGTGCCGAGTTTGCTTTAAATCTCTTCAGAATTCGATATAGCTCCCTATAAAAGTTCGTCCGATTTGAGGTAAATGACCCATAAATAATCCCACGTTTGTCCGATTGACATGAAATTTTATATAGAGTACCGAATTAAGTCTTGAAAATGGTTTGTGCCAAGTTTGCTTGAAATTGGTTCAGATTTCGATATAGCTTCCATACAAAATTTCGTCGGATTTTATGTAAATGGCGCACCAAAGGTCTCATGTCTTTCTGATTGACACGAAATTTAGCATAGAGTAATGATATATGTCTAAAATGAAGTATGTCAAGTTTGGTTTAAATCGGCACCCATATAAAAATGCATCGGATTTTATATAAATGGGACACCCAAGACTCTATTTAGGTCCGATTGCTACCAAATTTGGTATATGCTACCGAATTAAGTCTAGAATAATGTGTACCAAATTTGCTTTCAATCGGTTCAGATTTCGATATAGCTCCCATATATAAATTCGTCGGATTTCATATAAATTGGGCACCTAAGGCTCTATATAGATCCGATTGAAACCAAATTTGGTATATGCTATCGAATTAAGTCTAGAATAATGTGTGCCAAATTTGCTATAAATCGGTCCAGATTTCAACACAGTTCCCATAAAATTTTTTTCCGATTTGCGGTAAATGTTTCACCAAAGATTCCACGTCTGTCCGATTGATACGAAATTTTGCCTACACTACTGAATTAAGCCTCGAATGATGTGTGCCAAATTTGCTTTAAATCAATTTAGATTTCAATATAGCTCCCATAGAAAACATCGACGGATTTTAGGTAAAATTTGCACCAAAGGTCGTATGTTTGTCCGATTGACACGAAATTAAGCACAGGCTACCAAATTAAGTCTAGAATGATGTGCGCCAAATTAGCTTTAAATCGCTTCACATACCGATATAGCTTCCATAGAGAACTTCGTCGAATTTCATATATAAATGTGGCACACAAGGCTCTATATTGGTACGATTGATACCAAATTTGGTACAGGTTACCAATCTGTGTCTAGAATAATGTGTGTTAAGTTTGCGTTAAATCGTTTCACATTTCGATGTAGCTCCCATATATTTTTTTCCGATTTGCGGTAAATGGTTCACCAAATATTCCACGTCTGTCCGATTGACACGAAATTTTGCCTACACTCTTGAATTAAGCCTAGAATGATGTGTGCCAAATTTGCTTTAAATCGCTTCACATACCGATATAGCTTCCATAGAGAACTTCGTCTAATTTCATATATAAATGTGGCACACAAGGCTCTATATTGGTACGATTGATACCAAATTTGGTACAGGTTACCAATCTGTGTCTAGAATAATGTGTGTTAAGTTTGCTATAAATCGTTTCACATTTCGATATAGCTACCATATAAAATTTCGTCGGATTTTAGGTAAATGATGGATCAAAGGTCGTAAATTTGTCCGATTGACACAAAATTTTGCATAGGCAAACGAATTGAGTCTAGAATAATGTGTGTTAAGTTTGCGTTAAATCGTTTCAGATTTCAATATAGCTCTCATAGAGAACTTCGTCGGATTTTAGGTAAATGGTGCACCCAAGGCCTCATGACTGTCCGATTTATACGAAATTTAGCACAGGCTATCGAATTAAGTCTAGATTGATGTGTGCCAAATTTTCTTTAAATCGCTTCAGATTTCGATATAGCTCCCATATATAAATTCGTCGGATTTTATGTAAATGACTCACCAAAGATGCAACGTTTACCCGATCGACATGAAATTTTGCATAGACTACTGCATTAAGCCTAGCAACATGTACGATGAGTTTGTTTTCAATCGGTCAAAATTTCGATACAGCTTCCATATACAATTTCTTCCGATTTCCAGTAAATAGCCCACCAATGATTCTACGCCTGCTCAATTGACACGAAAATTTGCATAGACGACTGCTTTAAGCCTATAATGATGTCTATTAAGTTTGCTGGAAATCGGTTCATATTTCGATATAGCTCCCATAGAGAACCACTTCGAATTTCATATAAATGGTGCACCCAAAGCTCTATACTGAAATGAGTCTAAAATGAAGTATGTTAAGTTTGATTTAAATTGTTTAATATTTCGATATAGCTCCCACAAAAAATTTTACCAGATTTCTTGTAAACGTCTCATTTCTGTCCGATCGACACGAAATTTCGCTCAGTAGACCGTCGTGACCTTACAATGACATATGTATGCCAAATTTGATTTAAATTGTTCGAAATTTAGATAAAGCTACCACATATAGTTTCTTCTGATTTTTTTGATGATTTTCGAATTCTGAGTTTAGGTTAATTTTTTTATGTATATATTTATAGAATATTAAATATGTATTTATTTGTTGTAAATTAAATTTTTTTCTCTCTTCTTTCCCTCTTCTAGCCTCATCACCCATGCCCCAGGGCAGTGAAATTGCCAAAGATTGGGTCTTCATCAACTACACGTTCAAACGTTTCGAAGTACGCAATTTGGAGTGAGGCTTGGCCTTTGTGCGTTTTTAAAAACGAAAACAAAAATGTATTTATTTCAAATTGAAGATCTTTCTTTAGTTTCCTAACCTTAAAAAAACACATAACCACAAACTTTTACAACCACACACACACACAATCATGCCTAAAACTATATAACGAATATAAAAGAACTATAAAAATAAAATAGAGGGGTGGAAAAATGGCTAAGAAAAAAAATGCTTTAAATGCTACGAGCAGGACACTAAATCCCGAAGCCTCTAAAATTTAAAAAAAAAAAAAAAATCTATCCAACTTCAATATCATTTATCATGCAATATAACAAAATAATAATAATTATTATTATAATAATTATAAATAATATTTTTTTGGAAAAAATTTAATCACAGCTTATGTACAATATTTTTAATTGTAGTATTTTTTTATTTTAATTTTATTTTTTTTAATTTTAGTTTTTAATTTTGTAGTATTAAAAACAAAAAAAAAATTGTAATTTCCATTTTTGGTTTTTTTTTTTTAATTTAAGCCGTTTTGAATAACATTTTATTACTAGAGTATGTAGTATATATTATTAAATAATAATATAATATATGTATGTGTATTATTTTTAAACAAAATTATAAAAATAACAAAATGAAAATCAATTAAAAAAACACACACAAGGTAGTTCAAATAATTAATTAAAAAATATTAATAATTATAATAAAATTTCCTATAATATATTTGTAATTAAAAAAAGAAGAAGCAGCAGCAATACAATAGCCTAACAATTAATCTGGCCACAGGCCTATTTCAAAATCTTTGATTTGACTCATTTAAAAAAAAAATCTTCCTCTAAAAATCTATTCTAATACATATGAAAATGTTTACAGTTATCTTAATTTATTTTAAAAATTTTCTTTTTTGAAATTATTGAATTTTTTTAAATTAATTTTCATCAAAAAAAAATTAATTTAAAAAATTTAAAAAGTCCCTATATCACTTTCGGTTTGCACGAAATTTGGCATGGCATACTGAATTATGTCTAGAACGATGTGTGTTAAGTTTCGTGAAAATCGGTTCGGATTTTGATATAGCTCCCATATATATTTTCATCCGATTTTAGGTAAATGATGCAGCAAAGTCCCTATACTTTCATTTGCACTTTCGATTTGCACTATGTGTGTAAAATTTGGAAAATCGGTTAAGAAATACGCCATATACTGATTTTATGTAAATTTTGCAGCAAAATCCCTATATCACTTTCGATTTGCACGAAATTTGGCATGTGTGTAAAATTTCGTGAAAATCGGTTCAGATTTCGATATAGCTCCCATATATATTTTCATCCGATTTTATGTAAATGATGCAGCAAAGTCCCTGTTTATCATTCGATTTGCACGAAATTTGGCATAGAGTACTGAATTAAGTCTAAAACGATGTGTGTCGAGTTTCGTGAAAATCGCTTCATATTTCGATATAGCTCTCATAGAAAACTTCGTCGTATTTAATGTAAATGCTCCGCCAAAGGTTCTATATATAGGTCTGATTGATAGCAAATTTGATATATATGCTACCGAATTAAGTCTAGAATGATGTGTGCCAAATTTGCTTTAAATCGGTTCAGATTTCGATATAGCTCTCATAGAAAACTTCGTCGGATTTTTATATAAATGGTCCGCCAAAGGTACTATATAGGTTCGATTTATATAAACAATTCGCATAAGCTACTGAATTAAGTCTAAAAGGGTGTGTGTGCCATGTTTGATATAAATCGGTTTAGATTTGCATATAGTTCCCACATAAAATTTCATCGGATTTTATGTAAATGGTACACCAACGTTAATATTTATGACCGATTGTTACGAAATTTAGCAGAGGCTATCAAATTGAGTCTAGAATGATGTGTGCCAATTTTACTTTAAATCGGTTCACATGTCGATATAGCTCCCATATATATTTTCATCCGATTTTATGTAAATTGTGCAGCAAAGTCCCTATATATAATTCGATTTGCACGAAATTTGGCTTAGCTCAATGAATTGACCCTTGAATGATGTGTGTTGAGTTTCGTGAAAATCGATTCAGATTTCGATATAGCTCTCATATATATATTCGTCCGATTTTATGTAAATGGTGCAGCAAAGTCCCTATATATCATTCGATTTGCACGAAATTTGGCATATCGTACGGGATTGAGTCTAGAATGATATATGCTAAGTTTCGTGAAAATCGATTCCGATTTAGATATAGCTCCCATCTATATTTTCATCCGATTTTAGGTAAATGGTGCAACAAAGCCCCTGTTTATATTTCGATTTGCACGAAATTTGGCATAGCTTACTGAATTGAGTCTAAAATGATGTGTGTTAAGTTTCGTGAAAATCGGTTGAGATTTCGATATAGCTGCCATATATATTTTCATCCGATTTTATGTAAATTGTGCAGCAAAGTCCCTATATCACTTTCGATTTGCACGAAATTTGGCATAGCTTACTGAATTGAGTCTAAAATAATGTGTGTTAAGTTTCGTGAAAATCGGTTGAGATTTCGATATACCTGCCATCTATATTTTCATCCGATTTTATGTAAATTATGCAGCAAAGTCGCTATATCACTTTCGATTTGCACGAAATTTGGCATAGCTTACTGAATTAAGTCTAAAATGTTGTGTGTTAAGTTTCTTGAAAATCGGTTCGGATTTTGATATAGCTCCCATCTATATATTTTCTTCTGATTTTTTTTTTAATTTTTTTCTATTTTAACTTTTTATCAGAAAAAAATCCATATTTTTTTAATTTGAATTCCATTCCCTCAGACACAAACACACACACACATCTCACCTCCCACCTCCAAGCTCTAACACATACATACCTAATGGAAACAATCAACAACAAAATATATCACCCCTCTCCCCCTAAGACATTTCTTAGCAATTTTCCAATAGCTTGTCAATATTTATTTTCACAACTATGAAGATACGTTTTAAAAAAAAAGTGAAGAAGAAGAAGAAGATGAAACATATTTTTGGTAATCGATAGGAATACTTAAAATAATAAAATTTAAGTAACAAAAACAAAAAAACTGAATAAAATAATAATAATAAATAAACGCAATAAATGGAAATGTGCATAAATAAAAAAAGGATTTTTGGATTTTCTTTTAAAATAGTTTTTTTTTTTTAAACATCTACACAAGGCGTGGATTTTTTTTAAAATAAATTTTAAGTGGCATAGGGGATGATAGATACCAAGCAACGGCTCTGATTGGCTTTAACATGGGTGAGCTACTAGAAGGAGTGGACCGATGGGTCCCATCTTTAAACATAATTTAAGTTCGGCAGTAATATCACAATGTACAAAATTTGGAGAAAATCGATTACTACCTTCCGGAGTTAACGTGCACATCACATAATGCCAATTTCCGCTTATATAACATACGTTTATAAATATATTGTCAATATGTAATAAAACTTCAGAATGTCCTCTAACCATTGCTGCAAATTTTATCCAAATCGGTTAAGTGGTTGCGGAGTTATTCGCATTTGAATTGAACCATGTTGCGAAATACGCCCTACTGTTCGATGCTGGGCGCCTATTACCCGGCATTGAAAAATCACACAAAAATCGAGTTTTAAAAAGCAGGCAATTTTTTCTTCGTCTTTCATTCTACTGTGTATGTGTGTGGGTATGTATGTGAAGCGATGTTACATTAAAATTGTAAAGAAAATTAAAGCATACTTTTAGGCAAAACACAGTTTGCTCGCAGTCCTCCGATTTTTAAAATGATAGGTGAATTCAAATGCAAATAACTCAGCGACTACTTAACCGATTTTTAAAAATTTTGCAGCAATGGTAAGAAGGAATTCCAAATTTTTTTTTATATTGACAATACATATACAATCGTATGTTATATAAGAGAAAATTAGCATTATGTAAAATTTCAATGATGATAAGATTTCCTTTCTGGCCTTTTCGACAAAATTTCAATTTCCTACAGAAAATCTTCAATTCAGCCCAGCTGAATTATGATTTCTAGAGGAAATCTTCAATTCAGCCCAGCTGAATTGTGATTTCTTTAGGAAATCTTCAACTCAGTCCAGCTGCATCTTCAATTCAGCCCGGCTGAATTGAAGATTTCCTATAGAAATCACAATTCACACACATCACAAATCACAATTGTGATTTCTATAGGAAATTTTCAATTCAGCCCAGCTGAATTAGGATTTCTTTAGGAAATCTTCAATTTAGCCCAGTTGAATTCGGATTTCCATAGAAAATCTTCGATTCATATATAGGAAATCGTCAATTCAGCCCAGCTGAATTATAATTTCTGGCCTATAAAGCCTTTAATTATTACTTACCTTTTTTCTTCCCACTTTTTTTTATAAATTTCCCAGTTATTTCATTTTTTTAATTATTAAAAATACAATTATTGTTATTTTTTACCCAATTAACACACTAAAAATTGTATGTATTTTTTTTTGTTTTGTTTCGTTTTTTTTTTACACAAATGAATGTGTTTTTTATCGTGTTTGTTTTTGTTTTTTTTATCGTACTTTAAATACGTTGTTGTTGTTCTTTGTTATACGAAACCATTACAGACATATGAATTAATAAAGATTTCAAAAAAAAAAAAAAAAAATAAAATTGTTGGGTCTGAAAGGTAATGGGGGGAAAGGGCGCATGAAAAGAATCCAAATTTTATAAAAAAAATATTTTTATCTTATCAAAAAAAAAAAAAATAATAATAATTTTTTTATCAAAAAAATATCAAATAAAAATATTTTTATATAAAAAAAAATTTTTCAACAAAACATAATTCAGCTGGGCGGAATTGAAAATTTTTCTTATGAAAATCCTAATTCTTTTGGGCTGAATTGAAAATTTCCTAAAGAAAACCTAATTCAGCTGGGCTGAATTGAAAATTTCCTAAAGAAAACCTAATTCAGCTGGGCTGAATTGAAGATTTCCTATAGAAATCCTAATTCAGCTGGGCTGAATTGAAGATTTCCTATAGAAATCCTAATTCAGCTGGGCTGAATTGAAGATTTCCTATAGAAATCCTAATTCAGCTGGGCTGAATTGAAGATTTCCTATAGAAATCCTAATTCAGCTGGGCTGAATTGAAGATTTCCTATAGAAATCCTAATTCAGCTGGGCTGAATTGAAGATTTCCCATAGAAATCATAATTCAGCTGGGCTGAATTGAAGATTTCCCATAGAAATCATAATTCAGCTGGGCTGAATTGACGATTTTGTATAGAAATCATAATTCAGCTGGGCTGAAATGAAAATTTTATAAAAAAAAAAAAATATTTTTTTATTAAAAAAAAAAATTATCAAAAAAAAATTAATTTACCAAAATAAAAACCACTATTTTTCCCATTATTTTTTTTTTTTTTTTTGTTTTCCTAAAATTGAGTTTGTTTTTAATCCGTTTGAGAAAGAAAATTGAAATCTTTATTTTTTTGTGAAATGTTGTAACGGCAGTTTGTTGTTGTTTACTTTTTTGTTATCCTTTAATAGATAATTAATTTGTTGTTTTACTTAAATTTATAATTATTTTGTTGCCATTTTTGTTTTTCGTTTTTGTTTTGTATTTTGTTTTTGTTTTTTTGTTTTATTAATATTATCCATAAAATAATAATAAAATGTTAAAAGTTTAACTATGTCTTAAAATCTAATGAAAAAAATATGTATGTATGTATGTATACATAGACGCATATGTATATGTGGGTGTGTGTGTGTAATTTGTTTGTATGCAAGGTTGGTTTCCTTTTTGGTTTGTTGGGAGTCAGATTTCTGGCCCGTCCATCGTTCCCCTACTACACCCAAAAAGTTTGAAGCCCCTTGCATAGATTTTGTTTTTGTTAATTTTTCCGGTTTTTCGATTTTTTTAATTATTTATATTTATATAAGAAGAGTTTTTAGATTGAAACTTGTTTCAATTTCCAGTGGTGAATCATTTTTGCTATGCCTGTCTGGTTGGTTGTTTGGTCGGTGCCCGCTGGGTAAAAAGGATGTTTCGGTCTATTGTTTGATTTGGGGGGATTTGGATGCCATCGAAGTTGTATTGTAGTTGCTGTAATCTATTTAAATAGTTCTGTGGAACTGCTGCTGTTGGGGTAGGGTTATGTTGCTATTGTTGTAATTTTTTTTGTATTAATAGGATTTTCTTTAAAAATCTGCTTCTTGGTTTTTTGTTGTTTTTGTTTTTTTTTTTATCGTTTAAAGTTTAATGCTAATTGGTTGGTTTTGGATTTTTTTTTGTTTTACTCAAAACGTATAAAGAATTTAAAATTTGATTTGTTTTTGTTTTTTTTTCAATTTTCTGTTGTGGTATTGAATTGCTGGTTTGTTGATCCGGTTTCCTATAGTTGTATATACAATTGGGGTTGGTTGATTGATTGGTTGGTTTTTGTTTTTGAATTCAATTTAGGACTGCTCATCGACCAGGAGCATTATTTGTTGGGTGGCTGTTGGTGCTGGATTTCGTGTACATTCAACTTGATGGGCATTCCAATCTTTTCGTTGGCAAAATTCCGAACAATAGGGCGTCTTTCGACACAATGAACATTCCGCCAATGCCTCACGATTACAGTTGGCGCACTGGAAAAAGAAAAAAAACCGATTTATATTGAAATAAATTTAAAAAGTAAAAACAATAATAATAATTGAAGATTTCCTATAGGATATCACAATTCAGCTAAGCTGAATTGAAGATTTTTTTATAGAAATCACAATTCAGCGGGAATGAATTAAAGATTTCCTAGAGAAAGAGAAATCACAATTCCTATTGGAAATCATAATTTAGCTGAGCTGAATTGAAGATTTTGTACAGAAATCATAATTCAGCTGGGCTGAATTGAAGATTTCCTATAGAAATCATAATTAAGCTGCGCTGAATTGAAGATTTCCTATAGAAATCATAATTCAGCTGGGCTGAATTCAAGATTTCCTATAGAAATCATAATTCAGCTGGGCTGAATTCAAGATTTCTATAGAAATCATAATTCAGCTGAGCTGAATTGTAGATTTCCTATAGAAATCATAATTAAGCTGAGCTGAATTGTAGATTTCCTATAGAAATCATAATTCAGCTGGGCTGAATTGAAGATTTCCTATACAAATCATAATTCAGCTGGGCTGCATTGAAGATTTGGTACAGAAATCATAATTCAGCCGGCTGAATTGAAGATTTGGTATAGAAATCATAATTCAGCTGGCTGAATTGAAGATTTCCTATAGAAATCACAATTCAGCTGGGCTGAATTGAAGATTTCCTATAGAAATCACAATTCAGCTGGGCTGAACTGAAGATTTCCTATAGAAATCACAATTCAGCTGGGATGAATTGAAGATTTCCTTTAGAAATCATAATTCAGCTGGGTTGAATTCAAGATTTCTATAGAAATCATAATTCAGCTGAGCTGAATTGTAGATTTCCTATAGAAATCAATATTCAGCTGAGCTGAATTGAAGATTTCCTATAGAAATCACAGAAATTTCGTCAAAAATACCACCTTCAGCTGGTCTATATAGTAAGTCGGAAGGTGACGTTGTATGGGGGTTAGACCTAAAGGATAGGGATTATTTTTTTAAAGGGAGATAATTTTGTAACCATTGAAAATCTCAAATATCAAATTACAACCAATTACCATGGAAAATGTTACCAAAATTCTTAAAATATCGAAAATCGGAATATAGAGTTATAGGTGAGCTATACCTAAAGGTGGACTGATATACACAAGTTTTGCTAAGAAGGTATTCTATCCAATGAAAAGTCAAAATATCAAATTACAGCCAATTCCGATGGAAAATGTGTCCAAGATCCCTCATATCTCGAAAATCGGAAGGTTACGTTATATGGGTGTTATATACAAAACTTGACCGATATGGATTATTTTTTGGTTGAGAGATTGTCTACCTTGTGAGAACCCCAAATATCAAATTACAGCCAATTCCGATGGAAAATGTGTCAAATATCCGAAAATCAGAAGGTACAGTTATATGGAGGCTAGACCTAAATTTAGACAGATGTTCACAAATTTTGGTGTGGTGGTATTCTATCCAATGAGAAGTCAAAATATCAAATTGCAGCCAATTTCGATGTGTCCAAGATTTCTCATATATAAAAAATCGGAGGGTCACGTTATATGGGAGCTATATCTAAAAGTTGGCCGATAACGATTATTTTTGGTTTCAAGATTTTCTACCCACTGAGAAGCCAAAATATAAAATTACAGCCAATTCGCATGGAAAATATAACAATAATCTGAAAATCGGAACATAAATTTATATGGCTTCTTCACAGACGAGCTTAGGGGTGTCTTTATAGACGAGCTGAAGGAGGTCTTTATAGACAAGCTTAAGGGCGTCTTTATAGACGAGCTATAGGGCGTATTTATTTATAGATGAGCTGAAGGGCGTCTTTACAGACGAGATGTAGGGCGTCGTTACAGACGAGCTGAAGGGCGTTTTTATAGACGAGCGTTTTTACAGACAACCTGAAGGGGGGTTCTTTAAAGACGAACTGAAGGTCTTTTTAGACCAGCTGAAGGGCGTCTTTATGGACGAGGAGTGGTTTTTAGACGAGCAGAATGGCGTTTTTACAGCCAAGCTGAAGGGCGTCTTTATAGCCGTTCTGAAATCCCTATTTTATTTTTTCACTCACCTTCTTAGCTGATATTATTTCGTTGCCATGTAACGAACCCGATATATTTGGATCATCCAAATCGGCATGCACCTGTACCCGCATTGCAGCCACCGCAGCATCACGCTCCTTTTGTAATATTTCGATTTTACGATCATATGTGTTCTTTAAATCCGTCAGTATACGCTTAAAATCATTGGTCGCCTTGACCATTGTGCAATAGACATTCTCCAGGGTCTTCATTGTCTGACTATTATCCAGCAATGCAATCGACCCGGGATCATTGATATTCACCACAAATGTTTCCCGATCGTATGGATTGCCAATTTGTGTCTGATCCACCAATTCGGTCGATGTATCCAAGCTATCGTTAAGTGTCGGCCATGGTTCATCCTTGGAGGTAATATTATCTTCGGTTAAAAACATATTATTATCATCGACAACGGTCGCATGCTGTGGTGCTGGTTCTGTACTATTGACAATATTATTATTTATGTTATTATTGTTGTTGTTCGAATTTCGTTTACGTTTCGGACCGCCGCCGCCCATTATTATATCACCATCTTCTTGATTTCGCTTTCGACGTTTATACGGGGTAAATAGACGTACGGGACCGGATGCTGTATGGAAAAAAGAAAAAAAATGGAAGGGAGAGAGAAAAATAGTGATTATTATTATGGAAAAAAGGAAAAATCAAAAATATAGGAATCGGAATCTGCAATCTGAATGGAATCTTTATAGACGAGCTGATGGATGTCTTTATAGCCGAACTGAAGGAAGTCTTTATATACGAAGTCTTCATAGACTAACTAATGGACGAGCAGAAGGGCGTATTTAAAGACGAACAGTAGGGAGTCTCTAGACGAGCTGAAGTTAGTCTTTGTAGACGACTAGGAAGCATTCATAGCCGAACTGAAGTATGATTTTATAAACGAGCTATTGGGAGTATTAATAATCGAGCGGACGGGAGTCTTTATTTGCACTTGTGGTCTAAAATATAATCCTGTCTAATGGGGCTCTTATTTTCCTTCCTCAACGTGTGACTTTTTGTTGCGGTTTATGGTTCGGCGGAGTCAGTTAACCTTAATTTTTCCGAAGTTTGAATTCACCCTGTATTTTCGAATTGTTTCCTGAACTCCATCAGTTTGTATACAATCCAGTACTTTTGTAATGTTTGACCTTTCTCTCTCTCTAAATCATGCAGATACTTTCTGACAGGCCTGGGTGGAGGTGTCATGAGGAGTTACCCAGTTCCAGTTCTCAGGGAGACGTTCTGACAGGTCTGAATACTTCCCACGTAGCACTAGTATTCGCAGACCACACTGTTATCCCATAGGTGACCACAGACCGACCCTTTGTAAGAGGTCAAAAAGGTTTTCTTATCACGCGACTTTAGGACCTTGTTCCTACTTTTCGACTTCTCGCAGATAGCTGTCGTTTTACGCGGAATTTGGAATGTAACTCCGAAAATTTTGTGGATAGTTGGTGGTCGGAATTATTTCTCCATCGACCATTATGTTCAGCGGGAGCGTCCTTTCAGTCTTTCATATTCCTCGCAGATAGCTGTCGTTTTGCGAGAACGTTTTGAACATGCTGTGGAATATGACACCGAGAATTTTGTGGATAGTTGGTTTTCGAAATCAGTTCTCCCTCGATCAGTATGTTCAGCGGGAGCTTCATTTCTACCGTCCATATTCCTCAAATGGAAGAAATTTACAAGTTCAGCAATGTAGAGAGTTAACCTCACTCAGACGTCATGATCGTGCAATCATTCGCATACATTACGATCTCTATGCAATTCGGTGGGTGTGAAATTTCAGAAAGGTAGAAATGAATCAATTCTCTATATCCTCGAACAACTTGGCATGGTTGGCGGTATGGTGGGTCTTCGAAAGGCCAAGTGCCACCATAACTGTTCGGTTGCGCGGTCTGTTCCTTCCTAAAGTCCTTTGCTATTATTTGTGGGAATTGCGTGTAAAGCTGCTGTTGCTTGCGGAACTTATGCAGATGATTTGCAAATGCTTTCCGTTAGGCTAGCGAGTAGCAATGCCTCAAGAGCCCTAACTACTGTGAGACAAAAGTGAGTCGGCCTGTATGATTCATTTTTTTCTGGCACCATTGCCTACCTTCAGTAATGGGACCATCCATCCCATTTTCCACGTATCGGGAACTATTAACCACAATTTGATGACTTTGGTTAGGTACTTTACTCTTGGTTCATCGCAACATCACCAAAGAGATCACATCCGAATCAAAAAAGAGATCGGCATCCTTGCCTAACTTCAGTAGCGCGACCAACCTTCCTATTTCCCAGGTATCAGGAACTGTTAAGGTGGCTAATAAAAATTTGAGGATTTTGATAAGGTCCTCTACTCCTCATCTACCTGCTTCACATCATCATTGAGATCACATCCGAACCAAGCGTCTTGTATGATTTAAGCGCTTCTGATGGCACTTGCAACATTCTTCAACGTAAAATGTGGCGGTTCCTCCTCCAATTAAGGAGATCATATACGTGGCAATACTCTTCCCTTCGCTCTGTCACTCTCGGGATGCTCTAAAAGTGCCGATTAAAATCCCTCAACACCGCTAAACGAAACAAACGTCCAATGAGAATTCCTTCCTTTCATACTGGGTTCGAGAGCAATTTAACTGTTTACTCACTCCGGTACTGATGTTACCTCACTACAGATGTTCTAGCCACTACCACTGGAATGATTTCCCTAAGATCGGTTTGTATGATTCACCTTTGCTGGCAGGCTTGTCTATCTTCAGGAGCGATACCACCTACCAATTTTCCAGGTATCGGGGACTATTAAGGTGGCTAACAACAAATTGAGGACTTCGGATATGTACTCTACTCCTGGTTCATCAGGATGCGAACATCCGAACCAAGCGGCTTGTATGATTTTGCACTTCAGATGGCACTTGCAATATTCTCCAACGTAGTAGTCCTCTTCCACTTGAGGAGATCGTATACGGTGCAATACTCTTCTCTTCGCTCTGTCACTCTGGGGATGCTCGAAAGACTCCCGGTTAAAATAAGTGGCGCACCTCAACGTCGTTTAACGAGACAAATGTCCAATGATTCTTTCCTTTCTTACTAGGTTCGAGAGCAACATAACTCTTGCCCACAATTTACTCACTCCGGTACTGATGTTGCAACCCTTCAGATGTTCTAGCCACTTGTTCCGCTTGTTTTCGTCATGTCATGTATTCTCCTGGGATGCATTGAGTCCAGAGCTCCATAGCTTAATCGAATATGACGATTTTAGTGGATATTATTTTTCATTTATTCATATCGGCATAGACATCCGATCACATTTATCTCAAATCCAAATCATTGTGGATCACCCTGTAGTATATATAAACTTATTTCCAAAAATCTGAATTAGGATACTCACCAGCTTCATCATCACAACACACCGTACAACTGCAATTTGTTGCATGCGGTGTCAGGGTGCCTTCATCAATTAACGATTGTAGCGATTTGCCACCATATTTTATGGAACGTTTCCAATCTTTGCTGGAACCACGGCCGCATGTCTGTTCAAATTCGCTGGGCGTTAACCATTTGTCTTTGTACTTAACGCAACGACCACGACCGCCCGAACCCAATTTACTGCGATACAGTTCCGCACTGGTGGTCTTACAACGAATGGGAAAGACTTCCATTTGTGAGGTTTCGGACCAGCTGACCCCAGACCCTGAACCGCAACCAGAGCCAGGTCCACCATGTACCAGTTGATCACCGGTTACGGTGCTATCGTGACTGTTATTACTACCGGAACCATCATGATTGAGACCGCCAACACCAGTCGCCGAGGTCACCTGGTGGCCACCGACGACATTTGTATTATCACTTTGTTGTTGTTGTTGCTGCTGGTGCTGTTGTTGTTGCTGCTGTTGCTGGTGTATAACAATCGTCTTGAGATCACCACCCACCACCGTGCCACTCGAAATGTAGCCATTGTTGTCGACGCACAGCATCTGTTTGAAATGCGGTAAATGATCGGGTGTGATAACATTGAATGCGGTACCAGCAATCATGGAACCAATGGGCAGGGAAACGGGCACCGAGACAACACCGCCACCACTACCGCCACTGTTCTCATTTGACGATGTTACCATGTGAACTTTGGTCTCCAGCTGCAGGTAAGGGATTGATATTTGATCGATGCGATCCGACACATATCCCAGGAAGTAATGTTGGCAGTATGAAAAGAAAAGAATAGAAAATCAAAACAAAACACAAAAAATGCCAATTAGAATATTGTCTTAATTGGTAGGTTTGTAATTATAATATCCCAATCGAATCGAATCGGGAGGGAAATCCAAACACACACATGTCACAGAAAAATCACAAAAATATATACACAATTTTTCAACATTACAGCGGACAGGCAGGCAGCAAGCAAGGGGGAGGTAGAGGGCGGGCGGTTGAACCTGCGGACTTTTGGTCAATTATGTAGATGCTGATCGGTGGCAGTCAAAAGGGTCCACTATATAAGCATAACACTTGGAACACCATGGAATTTGCCCACTTGTCCGCTTGCTCGCTGCTGCTTCTTCTTCTTCGTTCCTCTTGCTTGCCTGATTACACTTTTCTCTATTTGTTTTTCTATGCCTGCTTGCTGTTTTCACTTGGTTTGTTTTTCTTTTTTATTTTTTTCTGTGATTTTCTTGGATGGTGGTGTGCTGCCGTACGCACCTGATGGCCGGAACTCTCCAGTATAACTTCTTCTTTAACATCACGCGCCTCATCGCTGAGCACGGCCAACTCTTTGACATCACGTATTCTGCTCAGATGCATCGAGTCCTGTTCCATAGCTTTCAACCGAGACTATGGAGATGATATTTGGGTTGCCTTCAGCAGCAGGCAGCAGTATCTCTACTTTTCTGCTCTTATTCTTCCGTTCCTCTTGTTTCTTGTGACCCGACACACACACAAAATAACTACACAAGTCAGTCGTTCAATCACAGCAGACCCAATGGATGAATGAAAAAAAAAAACCCAAAGAAAAAAGTTGCCGTGTAAAAAAAGTAATTTTAGGCGGTCTTCTGCACGACAATCACTGAACACCTTAAACACTGGGGACCACGTATCGCCACATGTATTTTGCCACTTTCAAATCACATTTAATGCAATTGTTTAATTAGTTTTGGTATTTAGCAGCCTGCTCCTTATAAATAAAAATAAAAAGATAGGAAAATATTTTTTTTTCTTCTTTTCAACTGGAACTCTGTGACATTTGGTCTTTTTCCGAGAGTTGCCAGATTTGTAGGTTATGGTGTGTGTTTTTTTCTTTCTTTCTATCTCTCTTCTCCGTTTGACATTTGTTGAGGGAACATAGTTGTAATTGGATTTGTAGTGGTTGGTAGTTGGTAATCAAATTGGAAAACGCAGAATTCCAATTTGAATCAATGGGTAATTTGTCTTGTTTACATTAAGGGTGTTTTATAGGGGGAAATATATTTGAAATAAATTAAAATGAAATGTTTATTATTAAATTAGGGCGTATTTACACCATACGTGTTTTATGGGGTAAAATATTTCCATTAGGGTGGTTTATAGGGGGAAAACTATTTTAGTTGATTTAAAATGGAATGTTTATTATTAAATGATGTTCAATGTAGTCTAAGGGCGCATTTACACCATATGTGTTTTATGGATATTTTACCAGTAAATTACCATTGAACTGAAATGAGATATTATGATATTATTATGGATATTTTACCAGTAAATTACCATTAAACTGAAATGAGATGTTTTTTTGTATTAAAAAAATGTAAATACAAATACAAAAAAATATGTTCATTGTGGACTAACGGCGTATTTACACCACACACTAATTCCTATAATGGGTTTATAGGTTAAATATTTTAGTTGAATTTAAATGAGGTGTGTTTTTATTAAATGATGTTTAATATAGGCTAAGGGCGTTTTTACACAATACGTGCTTTGTGGGGTTAAATTATTTAATTTAATGTAAAATTGAAGTTTTTTTTATTAAATTCTGTGCAAAACAAATTTATACGAGATGTGTTTTTAGTAAATTGTGTTCAATGTAGACTAACGGCGTATTTACACCGTACATGTATTATTATAATACAATTTTAAATTGTCGGTTAAGTTGTCATTACCTATGTTTTGGTGCAGGCACATCCTCCTGTAGAGATGAAGAAGGAAACCTGGTGACATATACAGACAGCGTGTTGAGGATCTGGATGGAGCATTTTGAAAAGCTTCTGGTATCAAATAGTGGCGGTGAAGAAGATATCCCAGAACCAATAAGAGATGATGGTATAGAGTGTATACCACATAGCCAAGATGAGGTCATAAAAGCAATTAATCAGCTCAAGAACAACAAAGCAGCAGAAACCGATGGGTTACCAACCGAACTATTCAAGACTGGTTGTCAGATGCTGGTCAGGAGCATGCACCAGCTGATTAGTACAATTTGGCTAGAAGAATGCGTGCTCAATGATTGGAACCCCCGCATCCTGTGTCCCGTGCACAAAATAGTAGACAAAATAATATGTGTCGACTATAGGGGAATTAGCCTTCGCATTGCATATAAAGTACTATACAGTGTGCTGTGTAAACGTTTGAAGACAATGGTCAATGACATTATTGGACCATACCAATGCGGCTTCAAACCTGGCAAATCCACCATTGACTAGATTTTCACTCTGCGCCAAATCCTGGAAAAGACCCACGAAAAACACATCGACACATACCATCTATTCGTCGACTATAAAGCCGCTTTCGACAGTCCTATCCGTTCATAGGTGTATAAAGCCATGTCTGCGTTTGGCATTCCTACAAAATTAATACGCCTATGCAAGATAAGGTCAGCAGTTAAAGTCGGCAGGGACCTCTCGGAGCCCTTTAATACCGAACGAGGATTCAGACAAGCTGACAGTTTGTCGAGTGATCATCATCATGCTGGAAAAGGTCATACGAGACGCAAAGGTGTACAGAAATGACACTCTGTACACCAAACAACACCTGTTACTCGCCTACGCCGATGACACGATATAATGGGTCGAACATTGCGAGCGATAACAGCCACCATTGAATAAATTGAGAAGGAGTCTGCCAAAGTGGGTCTGGCAGTAAACGGCGAGAGCTCCAAGCTGATGGTATCAACGTGCAAGACGTCCAGTAGACTCGGACCAACTGTGGAACTTGAGAACTACATCTTCGAGGTAGATAAAGATTTTATATACCTTGGTATCGCCATAAATAAACATATGATATCAGTTTTGAAATTCGGAGAAAGATTCGAACAAAAACTGTAGTATAAATTAATAGAGCTATCTACAAATTAAGCTTTGCTCGGTCGTATGTACACTACTTAATATCTGTCATTTATTTATGTCTTGATTTAGATTAGGCGAGTTTACTTGCGGCAATTCTTATCGTTCTCTTTTGAAATTGCTTCATGCGTCTATACAAGGCAATTCGGTTTCAAAAAAAAAAAAATTTATTTGTTTCAAATAGTTTTTTTACATTTAAATAAATATAAAATGTCAAAAAATACGAAATACACAAAACGAATTGCCAGAAAATTGTCGGTACGAACAATTTTTTTCCATTTCTATTCCCCTTGCCCCTCTCTCCTACAAACAAAGACTTGACGCAAGTAAACTCGCCTAATCTAAATCAAGACTATATAGAGGAAAATATTAAATAAATTAACCATAAATCAATTTAATTGACCCAATTAATTTCCATTTGTCTTCTTTTTAACGTATAAACCATTTAAATAGACAAAAATATAACAAAAACGATTGTATAATTGTCATATGGTTTGTTCCCGTACTGCAAGAATCTACTCCTTTTTACTACGACAAAATTTTGAAGAAAATAGTAAAATCAATTAGGTTCTTGTAGTAATGGAACTGACCAATATTTACTCTATTAATTGAACTGTCTACAATGAAGCTGCAGCGTATATACACGACTTCAAATCTCATGTCATTAATTTACAGTACATGACACGCTGTTATTGACATAAGAAGATATCAAAGTTATTACCTAAAAAATTAAGTGTCCTATTATTTTATATTTATTTTTTTATATAAACACTTGAATTCGAATCAAAACTATTTTATTTATGTTACATTAACTTTATTAATTGAGCTCTCTACAAAGAAAGCTTTGCTGGGGAGTATGTACACTACTTCATATCCAATGTTATTATTTTACAGTGCATAGCGCCTTGTTACTGACATAAGAAGATAATATCAAATAAATTAACCATAAACCAATATAAGAAACATTATAAATTTACATTTCTTTTCTTTTTGATATGAAAACTTCTTAAACCTACTTAAATTCGAAGGAAAAATATTGTTTTATTAATTCTATTAATTGAGCTCTCTACAAAGACAGTTTGATTGGGTCGTGTGTACACAACTTCATGCCTCATGTCATTAATTTACAGTACATTGCATATATGAATAAGAAGAAGACATCAAATCAGAATTGAGCCAATGAAAGCTTATTTAACGGCGGCACAGAAAAATATCAACACACAGAACAGCTGTTGGTTGTGTCCTTGGCTCGTTTGTTTTCATCCTCATTCGTAAACACGAGATTCGGTCCTCGTCTCGGTTGCTTTCAATTTCATTCGTCAGGTTGGTCGTCGGCTCGTTTGCTTTCCACCTCTGTTTACAGGGTTGCAATTTACAAAAACTCTGAATGTGAGCTACCCCAAGATAATCTTCTGGGGTCTTGCTGCTTGCTTGGACTGATTGGACACAGAAAACCTGCTCCATAGGGATAACAAAGTAAATGTTATTTGTTTGATTTGTTCGTGTCGTGTCGTGTCCTCCTTTGGATTTCAATTATAAAAATCTAACCAAAAGAGAGCGATACAGAGGGTAAAAAAAATGTTGGCGGACGTCGATGTTTTCCTAACAAACTACACAATAGTTGATCCCGAAATCTATGGATTATGGATAGAAGGATACACGTGTAAGTGTTGGCCATAAAATATTTTACAAAAATTATGTTGTTGTTAATGTTCTTTTGTTGTTGTTGTTTTTTTTTTAGCCACCGAGGCCGTTTGCTATCTGAAGCAAAAAGGATTTGGCCATTTAATGGGTGTCCACATCGATTTGATAACATCTGATGTCTTGGATCATTACCGTACATATTCGTTGATAGAACGTCTGCTGCATAGTCCCATTAAATTGGTCGAACAATCATGTTTTCAATTGCAGCCCGAGACACGCGATCTAATCATTGAAAAGTAAGCATGAAGTGTTTTGTTCGGGGTTTTATTATCTATCTGTGAAGAGATAACCACACACAACTGATTTTTTGTATTTTTATTAAAAAGGTATTACTCCATTGATGATGCCGTGGCCAGAGAAATATTGGGTAAAAAATTATCATCACGCTATCGCAAGGATTTGGATGAGGTTGCCGAAAAGACGGGTGTTAAATTGAAATCTGTTAGGTATGATTGAACATATTTTTAAGGATTTTTTTCAAATGCCTGTTAATTGGAATATTGCATGTTGTTGTTTTTTATTGCAGGCGTCAATTTGATAATGTCAAGCGTATCTTTAAGGCCGTAGAGGAATTACCCGGCAACATAACAAATAATATTAAGCAATTATTTTCCATATCAGAGGAGTTGGCGAAGTAAGTATTGCAAGTTTTAGGGAATGAAAAAAAAAATCGAACCTAGACCCCATAAAGTATATATATTCCGGATCAGAATTCTATGTCGTTTTAGCCATGTCCGTTCGCCTGCCTTTGGAAATCACCATGGATCACAAAATATTTAAGATGGAGCTTTAAAATTGTGCACATAGATTTTTACTACTCCTAGAATGTTTGGTATTGAAAATGGGATACATCGGTCCATGTTTTGGTATAGCCCCCATATGACAATACCCTCAAATATTCGGTATTGTGAGGATTTTTGTCCAGTTTCTTAAACGAATTGGCTGAAATTTGGTACTTTGATTTTTCATTGGGTAGTAAATCTCCTTACCAAAAATTATCGATATCGGTCTACTTTTCAGGGTAGCCCCTTATAAAGGTAGCCCTCAAATATGCGGATGTTTGGCAAGTTTTTCAAACGAATTGGTTGTAATTTGGCACTTTGACTTCTCATTGGGTAGTAAACCTCTCCACCAAAAATCATCGATATCGGTGGACTTTTTAGGTTAGTCCCCATGTAGCGTTAACCTAAAATAGTCGGTATTTTGCGGATATTTTGCACGTTTTTTAAACAAATTGGCTGTAATTTGGTACATTGACTTCTCATTGGGTGGTAAATATCCCCACCAGAAATTATCGATATCGGTCTACTTTTCCTGATAGCTCCCATATATAGGTACCCACAAATATTCGATATTTTGCTGATATTAGGCACATTTCCTAAACGAATTGGCTACAATTTGGTACTTTGACATTTCATTGGGTAGTAAATCTCCAACCAAAAATTATCGATATCGATGTACATTTCAGGGTAGCCCCCATATAACGGTATCCCCAAATGTTCGATATTTTGCGGATTTTTGGCACGGTTTTGATAAGGTTTTTCATAAGCTTTTAAAATGATACCCATATTGTTCACAAGATTTCAATAGAACCGGTTCCAAACCGGTTTGGAGAACCGAATATCCGGTTCGAATAACCGGTTACGTTTCCCAAAAAAATTAAAAATTTCCTATAATACGTAATAAAAAAATTCCCAACTATCGACTTGAACTCTGCAAATCACATCATTTAAAAAAAAAAATCCGCACATTTTTATTTCAAAATTTTTTATGATTTTTTTTTTCTTTTTTTTTTCAGAAAATATGCCTCCATTGTCTTCTTGGCCTGTTTACGTTTTGAAACGTCCAAGAAAAAATTGCAATATTTAAGTTTTAGTGATTTGTTTGCATGCTCTCAAGCGGTTATGATCTATTGGACCTATACGTATCAGCACACCGGACCCGAATATTATGATACGGAAATGGATAAGGAATTCCTACTAGACCTAAGGGAACTCCGATGTTTACTGGACAAGGAAAAGGAAATAAAACAGTGAGATAAAAGATTTTTAAATAATATTAAAAAATTATTGAAATTTATTTTTTTCTAGTTTGGTATGCTTGCGTTTGAAACCCATACTCTTGGAGCGGGCTTTTCATGAATTGGATAATAATTTTCGGTAAATGCTTTCAAGTTAAATATTATAATTTACATTTTTTCAAAACATTTTCATTTTTAATTTTCATTTTCCAGATCATATTGGCGCTCCCTAATCAGCATTGCCTGCAATCTACATCGCACACGAGAATTGCGTGACCTATATGTCGATTTGTGTGAAAAATTAGTAGAACCATGGCGTCAAAATGCCTGGGCCCGGGAACACGTGAATAAATTTTTGGCTGCCATAACGCAAAGTGTTTTGGATTTGGAAATATCAAGGTAATTCGGAAATTTTTAATTTCAGATGATTTGAATTGAAATCTATTTTCAAAATTTTTTTTCAGAGATCAAGAGACTCGCTGCCTATGGGATCGTTATATGCAAGTTATCAGTATATGTTTGGACAAAATGTATCATGTCTAAGTAATATGTTTTTTAATTCGCCTATTTATGTTTAGTACATATTTTTTTAATTTTTTATATATAGAGAGATTTTTTTAATTAATTTTATTTTTGTCTGTATTTAGGTCTGTTTTGTTATCTACTAATTGTAAAAAAAATTAAAACACAATAATTAAATTAAATTTATTAATAAAAAATTCGACTATTTTAAATAGCAAAAAAAAAAAAAAAAAAATAAAATAAATAAATAAATAAAAAAATTTGAGGTTAATGTTAAATGGGGGTTAGACCTAAAGTTGGACCGATATACATATTATTTTATAGGAAGATTTTCTAACCATTGATAACCCTAAATATCAAATTACAGCCAATTCGCATGCAAAATGTGCCCAAAATTCTCAAAATAACGAAAATCGGAAGGTACGGTTATATGGGAGCTGTACCTTAAGGTGGACCGATATACATAATTTTTGGTTTGAGGATGCTCTACCCATTGAGAACCCCAAATATCAAATTACAGCCAATTCGGTTGGAAAATGTGTCCACAACAACAAAAATTAGAATACCGTTATGAGGGTGCTGTACCTTAAGATGGGCCGATATACATAATTTTTGAAAGGGGGATTTCCTACCTCATGAGAACCTCAAATATCAAATTACAGCCAATTCCGATGGAAAATGTTACCAAAATCCTCAAAATAACGAAAATCGGAAGGTACGGTTATATGAGAGCTGTACCTTAAGGTGGACCGATATACATAATTTTTGGTATGAAGGTTCTCTACCCATTTAGAATCCCACATATCAAATCACAGCTAATTCGGTTGGAAATTATATACCCAAATATCGAAAATTGGAAATTCTGTTATATGGGTGATGTACCTTAATGTGGACCGATATACATAATTTTTGTTATGAAGATTTTCTACCTCATGAGAACCTCAAATATCAAATTGCAGCCAATTCCGATGGAAAATGTGAAAATTATCCTCTAAATGCCGATAATCGGAAATTACCATTGTATGGGAGCTATACCTAAAGGTGGACCGTTATGGAAAATATTTGGTAGAGAGATTTGCTACCTCATGAGAACCACAAATATAAAATTACAGATAATTCGGTAGGAAAATGCGTCCAAAATGTCGAAAATATAGATATCATTATATGGGGGCTGTATCTTAGGGTGGACCGATATACATAATTTTTGATAGGAAGATTTTCTACCTCGTGAGAACCCCAAATATCAAATTACAGCCAATTTCGATGGAAAATGTTAACATAATACTCAAAATATCGATAATCGGAAGGTACCATTATATGGGAGCTATACCCAAAGGTGTGCCGTCATGAATAATATTTGGTATAGAGGTTTTCTACCTCATGAGAAGCCCAAATTGCAAATTAAATCCAAAAAGGTTGGAAAATGTGTCGGAAATATCGAAAATTAGAATACCGTTTTATAATTCGGTCTAGAATTATGATTTCTATAGAAAAATGTTTAATTCAGCCCAGCTGAATTATGATTTCTATAGAAAATCTTCAATTCAGACCAGCTGAATTATAATTTTTATAGAAAAAAAAATTTCAATTCAGCTTAGCTGAATTATAATTTCTATAGAAAAATCTTCAATTCAGCCGAGTTGAATTATAATTTCAGCTGAATTATGATTTCTATATAAAAATCTTCAATTCAGCCCAGCTGAATAATGATTTATATAGCTAATCTTCAATTTAGCCCAGCTGATTTATAATTTCTCTATGTAAACTTCAATTCAGCCCAGCTGAATTATGATTTCTAGAGAAAAATCTTCAATTCAGCCCAGTTGAATTATGATTTCTTTAAAGATCTATAAATTCTATAAAGACTCCCTTCAGCTAGGCTATAAAGATCTCCGTCAGTTCCTTTAAAAAGACTTATTTTTGCAGGTCTATAAAGACTCCCTTTAGCTCGTCCATGAAAACTCCCTTAATCTCGTCTATAAAGACCTCCGTCAGCTCGTCTATAAAGACTCCCTTCACCTCGTCCAAAAATACTCCCTTTAGCTCGTCCTATAAATACTCCCTTTAGCTCATCTATAAAGATTCCCTTTAGCTCGTCTATAAAGACTCCCTTTAGCTCGTCTATAAAGACTCCCTTTAGCTCGTCTATAAAGACTCCCTTTAGCTCGTCTATAAAGACTCCCTTTAGCTCGTCTATAAAGACTCCCTTTAGCTCGTCTATAAAGACTCCCTTTAGCTCGTCTATAAAGACTCCCTTTAGCTCGTCTATAAAGACTCCCTTTAGCTCGTCTATAAAGACTCCCTTTAGCTCGTCTATAAAGACTCCCTCAGCTCGTTTATAAAGACTGCCTTCAGCTCGTCTATAAAGACTGCCTTCAGCTCGTCTATAAAGACTGCCTTCAGCTCGACTATAAAGACTCCCTTGAGCTCCTCTATAAAGACCCTTTACAGCTCTTAAAAAATACTCCTTTTAGCTCATCTATAAAGACTCTCTTCATCTTGTCTGTAAAGACGCCCTTCAGCTTGTCTGTAAAAACGCCCATCAGATCGTCTACAGACTTCAATCAGGTTAATGTAGGGTATTTCAAATTTAACCTCAACTTTTCCTGTTTTTCACAACAGTAGATACACACATAGATACATTACAATCTATGAGATACAAACACCCGCACACACACGCACCCACACTCATTGGCCAGTCGGCGGCAGGCCAATTGACATCAATAAAGTTCAAAGCTTTTTAACTGTTTTGACAGTTGTAAGCTTACATTGCGAAAAATGGGAAAAACATGACATAGAGAGAGAGAGAGAGTGGAAGAAAAGAAAAACATATAGCGAAAAAACCAAGCAAAGCAACAAATTGTCAAAATCCCACAGCCTACAAGCAAAAAACCTACAGAGGAAAATTTTTAAGGGAAAATCTGCAGGAAAATCGGAAAAAATAGAAATAAACCTCCAGCTAATAGAAGTGAAGGATATTGGGATAAGGATATTCGGATAAGGGGATTTCTGAGTACCTCAGCATTACAATGGATTACTGGTAAGTGATTGTGGGACCAACCAAGTCTGCCAGCAGAACAGCTGGGTAAGAAAAAGGGAAGTCTGAATGCCTAGAAGGATTTGAATGTGTGGATGGCCTAAGGTATGGTTTTTGGTGGTCCTATTTATGTTGCGGTTTTTTGTTTTTCTTACAGTGACAATCTACCGGAAGAATTGGACGATGAGACCTGTGATGAGGAAAAATCGGCAAGGACATCCGATGAAAACCGCAAGTATGTTCCAAAAGCAATACCTAAACCCAAATATATTTTTTTAATATTGAATCCTTCTCCCCTCCCCCCTTGCTGTAGGCAAAATCACAGTGAAATCGAAAAACGCCGCAGGGACAAAATGAACACCTACATCAATGAGCTGTCGGCCATGATACCCATGTGCTATGCCATGCATCGTAAACTGGACAAGCTGACAGTGTTGCGTATGGCAGTGCAGCATTTACGCAGCATACGTGGTGCGGTCCACGCCTACAGCGGTGCCGATGGTAAACCCACATTCCTTTCCGATCAAGAATTAAAAATGCTGATACTGCAGGCAGCCGAAGGATTTCTTTTTGTTGTCGGCTGTGATCGTGGTCGTATACTTTATGTCTCCGAATCGGTATCGAAGGTGTTGAATTATACACAGACAGATTTGTTGGGTCAAAGTTGGTTTGATGTTCTACATCCGAAAGATGTGGCCAAGGTAAAGGAACAGCTGTCATCACTGGATCCCTGTCCGAGGGAGCGATTAATAGATGCCAAAAGTGAGAACAAAAAAAAACCATAACTTCTTTTTTTTCCAAATAACCCGAATCTATTTCCCTTTTTCCCCGCAGCCATGCTGCCCGTCAAAGCCGATATACCCCAAAGCCTATGTCGCCTGTGTCCGGGAGCCCGTCGATCATTTTTCTGTCGCATGAAATTGAAAGCCGCCCTCAACAAGAACAATAACAACAACAATCAAATTAAAGAGGAATCCGATACCTCATCCTCATCACGCAGTTCCACAAAGCGAAAATCCAAACTGAGCATGGATGATAAATATCGGGTTATCCAATGCACTGGGTACTTAAAATCCTGGACCCCAATCAAAGAGGAAAATCATGATGGGGATAGTGATGATCAGATAACCAATAATATGTCTTGTTTGGTGGCCATCGGAAGGATACCCTCAAATGTACTGGAAGATCAAATACCCTCATCACTGGATCATCATCCGAATATAAGGCATGTTAAGTTCTTGTCAAGGCATTCGGTTGATGGGAAATTTTTGTTTATCGATCAAAGGTGGGTTGGGAGGACACATACACCCCTTACAAATTTTTAATAATTTTAATCGATTTTGTTTCCAGAGCCACCCTAGCTGTTGGTTTCCTGCCCCAAGAAATACTCGGCAGTAGTTTCTATGAGTATTTCCATCCCGAAGACATACCTGCACTGGCTGAGTCTCACAAAATGGTATTGCAGGTGGCGGAAAAAGTCACCACCCAGGTCTATCGATTTCGTTGTAAGGACAATAGTTTTATTCAGCTGCAGAGTGAATGGCGGGCATTTAAGAACCCCTGGACCACGGAAATTGAATATATTATGGCCAAGAATTCCGTATTTTTCTAATGTATAATTTTAGGTGTAAGAACAGACCACCTCCTCCTCCTCCGTTACATAAAATTTTCTCTTCCTCCTATTCACCCACATTATTCTTTACATAGAAATAAACTAAAAAAAAACAAATGGAAGAACAAAAGGATATCTTTTTAAGAAGGGCCAAAGGGAGAAATCATAACTCAGCTGGGCTGAATTAAAGATTTCTTATAGAAATCGAAATTCAGCTGGTCGGAATTGAAGATTAGCTATAGAAATCATAATTAAAGATTGAATTAATTAAGATTGAATTAATGATTTCCTATCATAATCATAATTCAGCTGAGCTGAATTGAAGATTTCCTATAGAAATCATAATTCAGTTGGGCTGAATTGAATATTAGCTAAAGAAATCATAATTCAGCTGGGCTGAATTAAAGATTTCCTATAGAAATCATAATTCAGCTGGGCAGAATTAAAGATTTCCTATAGAAATCTTAATTCAGCTGGGCTGAATTGAAGATTTCCTATAGAAATCTTAATTCAGCTGGGCTGAATTGAAGATTTCCTATAGATATATAATTTCAGCTGGGCTAGAAAATTTTAGAAATCTTAATTCAGCTGGGCTGAATTGAAGATTTCCTATAGAAATCTTAATTCAGCTGGGCTGAATTGAAGATTTCCTATAGAAATCATAATTCAGCTGGGCTGAATTGAAGATTTCCTATAGAAATCATAATTCAGCTGGGCTGAATTGAAGATTTCCTATAGAAATCATAATTCAGCTGGGCTGAATTGAAGATTTCCTATAGAAATCATAATTCAGCTGGGCTGAATTGAAGATTTCCTATAGAAATCATAATTTAGCTGGGCTGAATTGAAGATTTCCTATAAAAATCATAACTTAGCTGGGCTGAATTGAAAATTTCCTATAGAAATCATAATTCAGCTGGACTGAATTGAAGATTTCCTTTAGATATATGATTTCTATAGAAAATTTTCAATTCTGTCCAGCAGAATTATGATTTCCTATACGAAATCTTTAATTCAGTCCAGCTGGATTATGATTTCTGTAGGAAATCATTAATTCAGCCAAGTTGAATTATGATTTCTATAGGAAATCTTCATGATTTCTGTAGGAAATCTTTAGTTTAGACCAGCTGAATTATGATTTCTAAAGGAAATCATTAATTGAGCCCAGCTGAATTATGATTTTTATAGGAAATCTTCAATTCAGCTCAGTGGAATTAACATTTCTGTAGGAAATCATTAATTGAGCCCAGCTGAATTATGATTTCTATAAGAAATCTGCAATTCCGCCCTGCTGAATTATGATTCCATATAGGAAATCTTCAATTCAACGCAGCTGAACTATGATTTCTATAGGAAATCTTCAGTTCAGCCCAGCTTAATTATGATTTCTGTAGGAAATCTTTAATTTCGGCCAGCTGACTTATGTTTTCTAAAGGAAATCTTTAATTTCGGCCAGCTGACTTATGATTTCTTCAATTCAGCCCAGTGGAATTAACATTTCTGTAGGAAATCTTCAATTCAGCCCAGCTGAATTATGATTTCTATAGGAAATCTGCAATTCAGCCTTGCTGAATTATGATTTCATATAGGAAATCTTCAATTCAGCCCAGCTGAATTATGATTTCTATACGAAATCTTAAATTCAACACAGCTGAATTATGTTTTCAATAGGAAATCTTCAATTCAGCCAAGCTGAATTATTATTATTATTTTTTTTGATATAATCGTAGAAAAAATGTTACATTGTTGCAGGTTCTGCAGCAATTTGTTTTGAATATATTTCAGTTACAAGAAAACAATGAAATTAATCATTGAATAGGAAGATAAAAATGACAGTTTCTCAAAACAAAAATTCGACGTAAGTAGAAGTCAACGTAATTATAACATTAAATATGCACAAAAAATATTTACGTCATTCGTTATTGTTTACTTAACTAATTATAGCAGAATTTATACAATTTATTTTCAAAACAAATAATTTTTATTATATAAAATTAAAAAACAACCGGTTTATAAATTACCCAGGTCAGTACCCATACTGAAATGATTTGAAATATTCTTGAAATTTCTAAACATAATTGTATTTGTTATTTTTTTAATATAACAGAAAGATAATAGAATTTCAATTTTTTCTTTTAGTTTTTGAAAGAATCTATTCGAAATATGTTGATCATATGTTTACTTAATCAGCTGATTTATCGTAAATAATATCCTATATTCCACGAAGACTAAACACTTGTAAAATTGTGTTTAAATTCTCGTGGTATTTTTTTTTTAATTTATAAAGAGAAATTTTTGAATCAATTTTAATAAATAAAAAATCCTTTTAATAGAAAAAATGTGAATTATTAAATTTTATTCTTAAGATGGCAACCCTTAATATATGCCACTGTGTAAAAACAGCTGTTTTGATGGCAACTGCTTTAGTTCTTTTTGGCCGTTGTTACAACATTCATAATAACATGCCAAATTATGCAACTGTGTAAAAACAGCTGTTTTGATGGCATCTGTTTTAGTACTATTTGGCCGTTGTTACAACATTCATAATAACATGCCAAAACAATGCCATTGGACGTTTTTACATTACTGCAATAAATAAAAGACTCTTTAAATAGAAAAAATGCCAATTATAAGACAAAATAAAATTTAAATTATATTCTTAAGAAGCTAACCACTTTCTCCACTTTAAAAACGTGTTTGTTTTCGTTAGAGTCTAATTAAAATTAAAAAATAATAATAATAATAACCCTAGTCTGACTCACGTTTATAACTACATAATGTTAAAAAAAAATATAATTTGAATTGTTTCAAAATAAAGTCATTTACCCAAATTTGTGTGATCAAATATAATTCCCACCACCAATTGACCTTCGAATGTAATTAAACAAATTGCTAAATTAAACATTAATTATATTGTATGTAATTTTATGGTCGCGTGGCTAAATCAAACACTTCAAACACGTTTTACAAAGACATCAAAATGATTTATTAAATCTAATCGCTATAATATAAACACTTATTTATATGAACAAACACTTATAATAATTTAAATTAAAAAAAGGAAATTATTAGTTATGACATAAAGCCATGTCAATCAGGTGACCGAACTAAACCTATAAAGATCAATGTAATCGAATACATTGATTTCCATATGTTTGGTTCGATCAGCTGATTGATATGACCTTATGGCTTTATGGTTATGCCATAAATAATATAATTTTAGTAGCTTTTTTTGTGGTCAATTTTGTTCTAAATATATAAAAAATTATTATTTATTTTATTATAATTAGCTATTTATTTCATACAAACACATTATTCAGTCTAAATTACCCTTAATGTATGCCATTGTGTTAAAACAGCTGTTTTGATGGCAATTGCTTTACTACTTTGTACAATTTGTCTAGAAGAATGCATGGCAATGTTTAATGATATTATTGGACCATACCAATGCGGCTTCAGACCTGGCAAATCCACCATTGACCAGATTTTCACCCTGCGCCAAATCCTGGAAAAGAACCACGAAAAACACATTGACACATACCACCTATTCGTCGACTATAAAGTCGCATTCGCGACAGCCCTATCCGTTCAGAGGTGTATAAAGCCATGTTTGCGTTCGGCATTCCTGCAAAATTAATACTGGCTATGCAGGATAACTTTAAGTGGCATAAGGTCAGCAGTTAATGTCGGAAAGGACTTATCATATCCCTACAATACCCCAAACGAGGATTCAGACAAGGTGACAGTTTGTCATGTGATATTTTTAACATCCTGTTGGAAAAGGTCATACGAGATGCAAAGGTGAACAGAAAAAACACTCCGTACACCAAACAACACATGTTACTCGCCTACGCCGCCGATGACATCGATATAATGGGTCGAACATTGCGAGCGGTAACAGCCACCTTTGAACACATTGAGAAGCAGTCTGTCAAAGTAGGTCTGGCAGTAAATGGCGAAAAGATCAAGCTGATGGTATCAACGCGCAAGACGTCCAGTAGAATTACAGCTTCGAGGTTGTTAAAGATGTTATATACTTTGGTACCGCCATAAATAAAAACGAATGACATCAGTTTTGAAATTCGGAGAAGTATAGTGATGGCCAACCGATGCTACAATGGTCAAAGTAAGCAGTTTAGAAACGAATGAACCACAAGCTCTACAATTTATACGTGAACATCGACATAGTCAGTTATATTGAGCTACAGCGACTACGGTGGCTAGGTCATGTTGTGCGAATGAATGAAAATGCCTTAGCTCAAAAGGCATATAAAAGCGAGCCTACTGATGATTCCCGTAGAAAGGGAAGGCCACGAATTAAATGGAAAGACCAAGTAGAAAACAACATCAAATTGGAGGGGATGCGCACAAGACCGGCGCGCTTTGATATCTTTTTTAAGCTTCAGCTACTACACATTGGTCGATTTTACATTATTTTTTCAATCCTACTCTAATGGTGCTTTAATGATAAATACAATTCAATTTCAGAAGCTTTATTTTGTTTATATTCAATTTTTAAATAAACAATATAATTATTATTTTTTATAACAATTTATTTATTTTTTTTTTATTTCTTTAATTCTATTAATATATTACAAATAATTTCATATAAAATTAAACTATCCAGGCTAAAGAACCCTTAATTTAGGCTGTTGTGTTAAAACATCTGTTTTTTCATGGCAAATGACCGTTATCACTACTTTCATAATAACATGTCAAATTATGTACTACACATTGGCCGTTTTTACATTACTTTTCAATGCCACTCTGATGGCGTTATAATTGTAAGTAAAAAGTAATGTTAGTGGTCTTATTTAATTTATATTTTATTGTTATAATGATAATTTTTATTAAAACTTATTTATTTTTTTGTTTTTATTTAATTCATTTCGTTAATATAATAAAATTGTTTTCATAGATATATAAACTATTCAACCTAAAGCACCCTTAATTTGTCACATTGTGTAAAAACAGCTGTTTTGATGGCCGTTATCAAATTATGTAGTACACATTGGCCGTTTTTACATTACATTTTTCAAGGATACTCCAATGGCATTTTATTGATAAATAAAATTTAATTTCAGTGGTGTTATTTAATTTATATTTTATTTTTAATAAAAATAGTGTTTTTTATTAAATTTTATTTATTTTTGTTGTTTTTATTTCATTTTAACTAATATAAAACAATTCATTTCTTAGCTATATATACTATTCAGTCTAAAGCACCCTTATTTTAAACTGTTGTGTAAAAACAGCTGTTTTGCTTTAGTACATGATGACCGTTGACATTACTACACGCATTGACATTACTGTAATTTCTTCTTCTTCATATTTCGCACATACGTCTATAATACAAAAAAGGAACGTGTGAAGATCAATTAAATAATAGATTTTTTGAAATAAATTAATTACAAAAAGCCCACAAATATTAGGGATGGTGTAAATATTATTAAACAAAACGTGATAATAATTATAATTACATATAAATTAAACTGTTAAACAATTCAGTGCATCATCTGCAGTTGGCCGTTAAGTGCATGCAAAGAAGCAGAGAGAGAGAGAGAGAGTGTGTGTGTGTGTAAGAAAGCATGAGATATCAAATGTTTGTGCTCCTCATACAAAGAGAATAAATAGTCTTGTGTATGTTGTTGTTGTTATAAAAGAACATGTCAATGCAAAACAGAGCACAAATCACTCATTTAGTAATAAAACAGGCAGCCATAGCCAACGATCGGCATATATTCTTGTGCCGCAAAGCTTGATCAGTTCAGTTCTTTGAGAAACATCATCCGAAAGTGGTGTATAAGAAAGAAAAAAAAAACGTAAAGTGAAGCAAAGAAAAGAAAAGTATTAAAATAAAAGAAAACGGAAGTTCAAACAAAGTTGCACAATACCATTAAAGTTGAAAGAACAAGAAAAGAAAAAAGGAAATATTACTGTTTGTTTGGAGGGGTTTTTGGAAGTGTTCTAATAACAACAACGACAACATCAAACAAACAAACACAGTGGAATTATCGCAAACACACACACACACAAACATAATCATGTTTAATTTAATGATCTTAATAAGCAGTTTTGTTTGCTATATTGCCTTTATCCTATGGCAGTCGGTGAGGAAACCAAAAAATTATCCACCTGGTAAGTTTTAGGAGTGTGATTAAAGGAATTTTTATTTTTAAATATATAAAATATTTTAATTTTATTTAAGTTGGTTAATGCTAGTCCAATTGAGGTTATGAAACATAAAGCATGTCGGATCCATACAAAAAAGAATTTTATTTAAAATTTAATTGTTTTTTTATATTTAAGGAGCATAGCAAATTATAGGAAATAGTCCAGCGATGTTTTGTATTTTTTATAGTTGAATATTTTTATTGAAAATAAGCAGAATGAAAAGAGTCAACGGAATTAGGTAATTTAGAATTATTTCTCTAAAAAAATATATTTTAATTTTTAATTAATTTTTTTATTATTTAAGGAACTCAGATTGTGAGGATTAATAATTTGAATGGTCGTACTCAAAAAATTTATAAGACGAAATCGAAAATAATTTCGAATAATTTTTAAGGAATACAATTATGATTTTGGACATGCAACGAAAAATATTAGGATTTTTAAACATAAATAATGCTCGTATACAAATTATGATTTTGAACATGCAATGAAAAAATATTATGATTTTTAATCAGAATGTTTGTATTAAAAAAATTTAAAGACGAAATCGAAAATATTTGCTGGAACACAGCAAAGTATATTGAAACCAAATGCACCACAAAATTCAATGGTATGCTGCTTATTGGTAAATATTAAATGCCAAAAAAGGATTTTAATTGAAAATTTATTTTTTTTTCTAGATTAAAAAATTTTTATTTGAATTCCATTTATCGATGATAATTTCATATCGCAAAATGCAGCTATGTCAATCAAATGTTTACCTTATGGGTCATTTGAGAAACTGATGACACTTGCATTACAAAAAAAAATTTGAATCTGAAACCAAAAAAGAAAAAAAATGTAAATACTAAAACCATATATCTATGTGTGTGTGCGTTTGATGGCAATGACAGTAAAACCTCAATTAATGGGATTTGAAAAATTTAGTAGAAGAAAAAATCGGAAAGATAACACACGAAGAAGTAAATTAATTTAATGATTATAAATGGTTTCCCTGTAAGGTTAGTGAGTAGTTACGCAAATCGTATGCCAAACTAATGAAAGTTCTAACCCTATTAGGATATAGCTCATTTTGTCCAGTCCAGTATTGTGATGATGCAATGCGGTATTATTATTGCAACATAAGTCAATTTCAATATGCTATATTTTAAAATATTTCCATAGGCATAGTTAATTTAGAAATTTCAAACCCGAACAACGTTAACGAACCGGCAATCGAGCAAATCAAGACAAATGGAAATCAGTCTCTGACTGACAGGACTGTAGTTCTGGGAGGGGATGATATACACGGGACCCTTAACGTTATCCGCGATAATTTAGAGGAGCAGAGTAGGGAAATCTTCGACCAGTTATACAGACTTGTACCAGAAGAGCAATGTGGGGATACGCTTCCGGAGGAACTGCTACTAAATCTCACCCTGACTGATAATGAACTGGTCACCACGGTAATTTCGGCCAAGTCTACACAGGGGGATTGTTATTATAGCCTAAGCGAAGACAGCGTAGACCTTGTTGATCGACCGATTGCAAGTCTGATTCGAACAGGTCCTGTGTCGGCACTTGCCGGCAATAAACTTCAGAGGCAATCTGCGACGGAGGCGATGATTTTTGGGAGGGATATTTTCTACCCAATAAATGAGCAAAATTTCAAATTATTTACAAGTTTTTCCAAAAACCAATATTGATGATTTTGGGAAGGGATATTTTCTACCTAAGAAGGAAACAAAATTTCAAATTATGAAAAATTCGGCTGGAAAAGTTTTTTCAATTTTTTTAAATATCGAAATTTGCATGCGGATTAAACAACAATCTATTGAATTGTGGCCTGTTTAAACTCTAGGTAATATTACGACATATGTGTTTGACAGTAACCATGCGAAACAGCTGATCTTCAAAATACCAATTTTGATGATTTTCGGAAATGATATTTTCCTCTCGATAAGGGAACAAAATATGAAATTATAGAAAATTCAGCTGGAAAAGTTTTTCAAAAAAATTTTAAATGCCTTAATTGGCCTACTGCTTAAAAATTCTATATTTAAATGTGCCCTGTTTAACCTGTAGGTAATATTGCAACATTATATTTCCTTGACAGTAACCATGCGAAACAGCTGATCTTCCTGGCTGGCCTCCTAAATAAGCATTGTGGACATTGTGACGCATGTGTAATATTTGGTTCCAAATCAACAAAAAAAATCATTTAATTATTGTCCATTTTTTTGGCGATAAGATTTTAATCTAAATTGAAAGTACTTGAAAAAAAAATAATAAAAATTATTATCATAATAATAATTAATGAAAAAAGAATCTATATAATAAAAGTAATTACGATAAAATGATTTAGAGTTGAAGGACAGTGGTCAATTTAACAATATAACACTTTATATCCATAATTAACTGCGATATATTAGGTCTTTATGATGACTTATGGGCGAGAGAGTTGAAGTGTTGCCATTCCCCTTAACTCCCACACCTATAAAATACAAAATTGAGGTAATTAAAATTGCCTAAGGCAAGTTTGGACAAACTAGTAATATTTTTTTACATATTTAGGTTAATTTATAATGCCCTGAGAGATCTTATTAATAGGATACATCACTGTTCCTTTCTATGGCCATCCAGTGTGATCAGCTGATTACCTGATCAGCTGTTAAATATCATTATTGTGATTGAATTCACAATATGAATGAATGGAAATATAAACAGCTTAGTTTCAATTTTTAATAATATCAGGAATATCGAAATAAAATCGTATCCCAAATATCCCGCCAACACTCCTGGAAATGTTCTATGCTAATAAATTCGCCCACTGAACGAACTTATTATGAGTATTTCTAAATAAATAAAATACCTAAATTGTTACCCAATTTTTTTTGAACCCTTATTATATCTTGACACTGTTCTGTTCAAAGACCTATAGTGAAATTTTATGTAGAATATTCCACTCATCGGCCAAATATTGATGAATTTCAAAACTGGTCCAAATTTGTTATTTTTTCTTCCTTCATACCCAATTTTTAAACAGATTTTTCAATGATTTGTGTTATAACTAGGAAATAATTTTGTTTGCAGACCTATAGTGAAAATTTATGTATAATTCGCGTACTTACTTACTTAGTTGGCTTGTGATAGAACTTTCGTTCCATAAGCCGAGCATAAAAAATGAATTCCAGGCGCGTCGGTCTTTTGCGCAGGTTTTCCAGTTTGAAATATCATATTCGGTAATGTTGTCTTCCGCTTGATCTTTCCATTCGGGGCCTTCCCCTTCTGCGTTAACCATCAGCTGGTTCGCTTTTATATGCCTTCTGGCTGGCTGGCATCTTCATCCATTCTGGCAACATGACCTAGCCAACGTAGTCGCTGCAGCTCAATATGTCTAATAATGCCGATGTCCGAGAATAGCTGGTACAGAGCATGGTTCATTCGACGGCGATATTCACCATCAACGCACATCGGCCCATAGATCTTTGGGAGAATTTTTCTCTCAAACACTCCAAGAGTTTCCTCATCTGCTTGCGTAAGTACCCATGCTTCAGATCCATATAATTGCGTCATCTTTTTTTGGTTCGGGGGTATCCTCTTCACCGCCATTATTTGATACCAGAAGTTCTTCAAAATGCTCCTTCCAGATCCTCAGCACGCTGTCTGTCGCCTACTGAGCGAACATATTAATTAATTTGGTATAAATGATCTGCAGCATTTTTTTCATTAAAACAGTGCCACAATATTCACTCGATTTCAAATGCCAATTCCAAAGCGTATTCCTCGAATAAATTCTAGTTTTAAAGCCAGTGGATTTTTTTTGAAATTGGCATTAAAGATCGAGTAGATTTCGTTAATAATTTTTAGAGTTTAAGACGTTTTATGTCAACCTCTAAGAACAGCTGATTATTAAAACAGCTGTTAAACGACATTATTGATCAGCTGATTATCAAAACAGCTGTTAAACGTCATTATTGTGAATTCAATTCAATACCTCGAATAAATTCTAGTCATAAATTCAGTAGATTTTATTTGAAATATTCGCATTGGAATTAACATTGTAGATCGCGTGGTTTTCGTAAATATTGTTTAGGGTTTAAGACGTTTTAGGTCTCCCTCAAAGATCAGCTGATTATCAAAACAGATGTTAAACGTCATTATTGTGAACTCAATTCAATACCTCGAATAAATTCTAGTCATAAATCCAGTGGATTTTATTTGAAATATGCGCCATGAAATTGACTTTAAAGATCGAGTAGATTTCGTAAATATTTTTTTAAGAGTTTAAGACGTTTTAGGTCGCACTTTAAGATCAGCTGTTAAACGTCATTATTGTGAATTCAATTCAATACCTCGAATAAACTCTAGTCATAAATCCAGCGAATTTTATATCAAATATACGCAATGGAATTGACATTAAAGATCGCGTAGACTTCGTAAATAGGTCTCTCTCAAAGATCAGCTGATTATCAAAACAGATGTTAAACGTCATTATTGTGAACTCAATTCAATACCTCGAATAAATTCTAGTCATAAATCCAGTGGATTTTATTTGAAATATGCGCCATGAAATTGACTTTAAAGATCGAGTAGATTTCGTAAATATTTTTTTAAGAGTTTAAGACGTTTTAGGTCGCACTTTAAGATCAGCTGTTAAACGTCATTATTGTGAATTCAATTCAATACCTCGAATAAACTCTAGTCATAAATCCAGCGAATTTTATATCAAATATACGCAATGGAATTGACATTAAAGATCGCGTAGACTTCGTAAATAGGTCTCTTTCAAAGATCAGCTGATTATTAAAACAGCTTCTAAACGACATTATTGATCAGCTGATTATCAAAATAGCTGTTAGGGGTCATTAGTGTGAACTCAATTCAATATTTCGAATAAATTCTAATTCATAAATCCAGTGAATTTTATTTGAAGTAAACGCAATGGAATTTGCATTAAAGATCGAGTAGATTTCGTAAGATCAGCTGATTAACAAAACAGCTGTTAAACGTCATTATTGTGAATTGCAATTCACAATATGACGAAATAAACAGCATCGTCTGAAGAAGGCTATTTCTGTTTATTACTGAGTGACATTGGAAAAGTTTGTAAGCAAATAAATTTGGCTACAATTGTGACGAAACGCCTAAGTCCTCAATCTAGTGGGTCATGTTCTGCACGTTTATTTTTTTCTCGAAGTTATTCGCCAATGTCTATCTCACTTTAATTGTTAACATATCGCGCATGTTTTCGATAATATTTACTATATCATTAGATTGCTTATCGAGAGAGATTAGATGTGTAGTAAAACTAGGAAATAATGCTACTGATTTTTTTTCGTGGTCGCATCTAATCTTCCAAAATACGTATGATTCGGAGTGGTTTTTATGATCTCCAATAAATTATAATTGAATTATTGTGATTTTTTTGGTCATATCGTTATATGGAAAGAAATGTTGGTTTCTAACCTTTAGACGATGACATTAAAATAAATTGGGACAAAATTATAAATTTATTTTCAGTCAATGGAGCGGAGGAACTGATTGAAGGAAAGAGTCACTAAAAAGTAACGAATAGATTTTTTTTTAAAAATAAATAACTTTTTTGAAAGTTAGTAAGAATTGTTACATGACCTATTAATAAGATCACCAAAAAAATAATCGATGTCGATATCGTTATTTCTGATTTTACAAAGTGAAGTCCATTCACAATAATGCATGTTGACAGTGAACTTGAAAAACATCTGATTTGATCTTCCTGGGTGACCTTATTATTTGACCATGACCCATTATAATTAGGTCTTGCCAGAACAGTTCAAAAACAGCCGATTTTATTATGTTAAGTGCCAAAAAAATTGAATATTGTGAATATGAATGTATTTTGACAGCAAATTTGACAATCAGCTGATCTTTCTTGGTGACCCAATAAACAGCTCTTGTATGTCAAAAAAACAAAGGCGAGATTGAGAGAACATTTTTGACATTTGTGCAACAACCGGTTTACATGTAAATTCCTATTGGATTTTTTGTTCCCAATTTGAATCAGCTGATTTGAAAAACAGCTGTTTTGTCAGCTTTGAGTAATTCCTTTGTAAAACTTTATTTATATAAATTAATAAAACTAGAGACTAATACAAATTATGACAGCAAATTTATTCGACTTAATTAGCGTATGAAATTGTTTCACAAATTCCTCCGTGTATTTTAGTTTAGGGGAAAAAATTCCCCATTGTTAATACAACAACAAACAGCTGTTTATTATTATTAATGAATAATCAAATAAAAAAACTTTGCATTGATCATAGAAACGTGAGAAAATGTGGTTTTACATTTAGGTTTAAAATTTCAATATTAACTAATATTTTTTTAATAATTGTTATTATAAATATTAGTATTTGAAATAAGATTTTATACAAAAAAATTGTCAATTTTTGTGGTTGTATTAGCAACAAATTTCTAATTTCCGATCATTTATGAAATTCCTTGATTTTTTCAACAATTTTTCATTTTAGGCGGGAAATGTCAATGGGTGAAATGTTCTGCATAAAATTTCACTGTAGGTCCCTGAATAAAACAAACCTCCAAATATAACAGGGTTCCCTAAAATATGGGTAGGGAATTAAGTATTTTGGCAATAAAATGTCTAATTTCGACCATATTCGAATACCATTAAATTTTGGGAGAAATTTTCATTTTGAGCGACAGGTGTCAACGGGTGAAATATTCTACAGAAGATTTCACGTTAGGTCTCTGAACAAATCGAATCTCTATATATAACAGGGTTCCCTAAAAATTGGGTAACAAATTAGGTATTTTGGTAAAAAAAATGCCTAAGTAGTCATAATCCAATTAATCAAATTTTTTAATCATAACCTATAATAATCAAAAACTTTTTTTTTTGTAATTTAATCGGTATAATATTCTTTAGTAGTTTAATATCCCTCCCTTTTACATTTAAGCCGCTTAATACGATAACATTTATATTTAATTGTGAAATGTAGCTTACAGCCTTAAGGTCGAAAGACTGGGCACTATGAAATATATAAATAAATAATTCTGACCATTTCGGACTTTCATCGAATTTCGATATAATTTTTCGGTTTAGGGGGCAGGTGTCAATGGGTGAAATATTCTACAGAAGATTTCACGTTAGGTTTCTGAACAAATCGTATCTTTATATATAACAGGGTTACCTAAAAATTAAGTAACAAATTAGGTATTTTGGTAAAAAATGCATAATTTAGACTATTTTGGAATTTCATCGAATTTTGGTATGATTTCCCAATTTAGGGGGGAAATGTCAATGGGTGAAATATTCTACTTCAAATTTCACTACAGGTCTCCGAAAAAAGCTAATCTCTAGCTTTAATATATTTCACTTAAATATGTGCTTAAAATTTGGTCTAAATTCAAAAATGTCTAAATTCCGACCATTTCGGCAATTCGCCGATTTTTGGTATAATTTCTAATTATAGACCATAGATTTCGCTGAGTAAAATATTCTCCATAAAATTCTACTATAAGTCTCTGAACAAAACAAACCTCTAGATATAATAGGGTTCATTAAAAATTAGGCAACAAATTTTGTATTTTGGCAAAAAATGCCTAAATCCGAACATTTTTGACTTTTACCAAATTTTCGTCGATTTTTTCATTTTAGAGGAGAGTTGTTAAAGAATGAATTATTCTCCATAAAATTTCACTATGGGTCTCTGAGTAAAAAAAATCAGGTATTTTTGCAAAAAATTCTTAATTCCGACCAGTTTTGATTTTCACCAAATTTTCGTCGAAGTTTTCATTTTAGGGAAAAGTGGATGAAGTATGAATTATTCACCATAAAATTTCACTATGGATCTCTGAAGAATATAAACCTCTAGATATAATAGGGGTCCTAAAAATTTGGGAAACAATTAGGTATTTTGACAAAAAATGTCTAATTTCGACCATTTCGGAATTTAACTAAATTTTGGGAGAATTTTTCATTTCAGGGGAAAATTAATAAAGTATGAATTAATCTACATCAAATTTCACTATGGGTCTCTGAACAATTCAAACCTCTAGATATAATAGGGTTCCCTGAAATGTGGGTAAAAAATTAGGTAATTAAGCAAAAAATTGCTAATTTCGACCATTTTCGAAATTCACCAATTTTTGGTAGAATTTTTAATTTTAGTAGAATTTGTATAAAGAATAAATTACTCTCCATAAAATTTCACTATGGGTCTCTGAATAATATAAATCTCTCGATATAATAGGGTTTCCTAAAAAATGGGCAACAAATTAGGTATTTTGCCAAAAAATGCATAATTTCGACCACATCCGTATTTCATCAAATTTTCGTAGAACGTTTCAGTTTAAAGGAAAGATGTTGATGCACATAAAATTTAGCCTTAGGTCTCAAAACAAATCAATCCTCTAGATATAACAGGGTTCCTTAAAAATTTGGTAAAAAATTAGGTATTTTAGTAAATAATACCTAATTCCGACCATTTTTGATTTTCACCAAATTTTTGTGGAATTGTTCATTCTGGGGGAATGTCTATAAAGAATAAATTATTCTCCATAAAATTTCACTATGGGTCCACGAACAAAATAAACCTCTAGATATAATAGGGTTCCCTAAAATTTGGGTAACAAATTAGGTATTTTGGCAAAAAATGCCTAATTGCGACCATTTCCGAATTTTATCAAATTTTCGTCGAATTTTTCATTTTAGGAGAAAATTGTTGAAGGATGAATTATTCTCCATAAAATTTCACTATGGGTCCACGAACAATATTAACCTCTTGATAAATAGGGTTCCCTAAAATTTGGGTAAAAAATTAGGTATTTTGTGCAAAAAATGCCTTATTTCGACTATTTTCGAATTTCATCAAATTTTCGGCGAATTTTCCATTTTAGGGGAAAATTGTTAAAGTATGAATTATTCTCCATAAAATTTCATTATGGGTCTCTGAACAATAAAAAGCTCTAAATATAACAGGGTTCCCTAAAAAATGGGTAATAAATTTGGTATTTTGGCAAAAAATCCTAATTTCGATCATTTTCGAATTTCATTGAATTTTGGTAGAATTTTCCATTTTAGGCGATAGGTGTTAATGAGAAAAATATTCTCCACTACATTTTACTATGGGTCTCTGGACAATAAAAACCTCTAGATATAATAGGGTTCCCTAAAAAGTTGGGTCAAAAATTAGGTATTTGGGCAAAAAATGCCTAATTCCGACCATTTTTGAATTTCATCGAATTTTGGTAGAATTTTTCATTTTAGGGGACAAATGTCAATGAGAAAAATATTCTCCACTAAATTTCACTATGGGTCTCGGAAAAAAAGAAATCTCTAGAAGTTATGTGTAACAATGAAATATCGGTTTAAAGTTGGTTATAAAAATAAAAAATACCAAAATCCGCATATTTTCGTTATTTTATATAATCGCATATATTTTTTGTTGTTGTTGCTGTCTTTAATTAATCCCCTTTTTATTTTCCTCCTTTTGCAGGTCCCGATTGTGTCCCATGGGTGGGTAATACGATACAATTGCGCAAGGAGGCTAGAGCATGTGGCGGACAACATAAGGCCTTTGAAAAATGGTCCAAGGCCTATAACAGTGATCTCTTGGGCCTGAAGCTGGGCAGTGAATTGGTGGTTGTGGCCCTGGGTTATGAAATGCAAAAAGATGTCAATCTCCAGGAGGTATTCGAGGGACGTCCTGATACCTTCTTCTTGCGTCTACGTACTATGGGCACCCGCAAGGGTATTACCTGTACCGATGGCAAACTATGGTATGAACATCGTAATTTTGCCATGAAACAAATGCGTAACGTTGGCTATGGTCGTTCGGAAATGGAACAGCATATACAAAAGGAAACGGAAAGTCTGCTGAAATTTATTGAATCATTTGAGGGGGCTCCCGTCTGTCCTGCGACCTTTTTGGCTCAAAGTGTCATCAATGTTTTGTGGTCCATGACGGCTGGGAAAAGATTTGAAAGAGGCGATAAGAGAATGGCAAGGTTGTTGGATCTGATGGGAAGTCGTTCGAAGGTGTTCGATATGTCGGGGGGCATTCTGACCCAATTCCCCTGGCTGCGTTTTGTGGCACCCAACAAGACCGGCTATAATTTGATACGCCAATTGAATGCGGAAATGTTTAATTTCTTTATGGAATGCATCGATGAGCATAAGGCCACGTTGGCGAAGCAGACGACGGATGGGGATTTGATTTATGCCTATTTGCGGGAAATGCAAAAAGAGCTTAGCAACAACAATGAGAATAGCACCTTCAACGAGACACAGTTGGTCATGACCATTTTGGATTTGTTTATTGCGGGATCGCAAACCACCAGCACGACCATCGATCTGAGTCTCATGACATTGGCCATGCGTCCGGAGCTGCAAAAGAAAGTCTATGAGGAGATAAGGGCGAATGCCAAACACAATGAATTCCCCAGTTTGGGTAACAAGGCCTATTACCCCCTGACCGATGCTTTCCTCATGGAGGTTCAGAGATTTTATCATATTGCTCCGATCACAGGGCCAAGGAGGGCATTGTGGGATACAAAATTAGGAGGTTATGATATACCGAAGAATACTACAATTCTCATGTGCCCCTTTACGGTTATGAAGGACGCCAAACACTGGGGTGATCCGGAGGAATTCCGCCCTGAACGTTTCATCAATGAGGAGGGTAAAACCTTTAAAGACGAATATTTCATTCCCTTTGGTATGGGTCGACGACGTTGTTTGGGTGATGCCATGGCAAGGGCTTGTATATTCTCGTTTATCGTTTCGATATGTCAAAATTTTGAATTGGTCTTGAGTGATAAAGAAGAAGATCAGCCTTCATGGACCCTGGTGCCGGGTATAACGCTTTCCGCTAAGCCATATAAAATTAAATTTGTAAAACGTGTGTGAGCTGGGTAGGGGGAGAAATGATTGCAGATCAAGGTGTGTGAGTTGGAGAGGAATGATTGCAGATCAAGGTGACTTGCAGCATTGTTGTCAGATCATGCACACACACGCCCGCACACAAATTTCCAACCACAATAGAAGCTTTGTATAGAAATAAATTAGTTATTAAGCTTTCTTTCAATTTCTTTCTTTATTCTTCTTTTTCATCTAAACATATATATACATACATATGTACATATTTATAGATATATCTGAAAAATTAAATTATGCCTAAGATGTTAGACCAAAAAAATCGTTTGTTTAAAAATAAATGCTTGAAAAAAACCAAAAATCTGTTTAATGGCTACAAAAGTAAAAAATGTATATTTCCGACCATTTTTGAATTTCATAAAATTTTGGTAGAATTTTCCACTTTAGGAGAAAACTGTTAATGGACGAAATATTCTCCATAAAATTCTACTATAGGTCTCCGAAAAAATCCAATCTCTAGATATAATAGGGTTTATTAAAAATGAGGCAACAAATTTGGTATTTTCTCAAAAAATGCCTAATTTCCACCATTTTTTATTTTCAACGAATTTTGGTAGTTTTTTTCATTTTAGAGGTATTTTTATAAAGAATGAATTATTCTACATCAAATTTCACTATGGGTCTCTGAATAATAAAAACCTCTAGATATAATAGGGTTCCCTAAAATTTTGATAACAAATTAGGTATTTCTTGAAAAAGCTACTAATTCCGACAATTTTTGAATTTCACCAAATTTTGGTAGAATTGTTCATTTTAGGCGATAAATGTCAATGAGTAAAATATTCTCTATAGAATTGCACTAGCAGTCCCCGAACAGGAGAAACCTCTAAGTATAATAGGGTTCACTAACATTTCCGTAACAAATTTGGTATTTTAGTTAAAATATCCCATTCTGCCCATTGTCGAATTTCAACGAATTTTGGTAGAATCTTTCACTTTGGGGGAAAATTGTTAATGAACGAAATATTCTCCATAAAATTTCATTATGGGTTCCTGAACAATACGAACCTCTAAATAAAACAGGGTTCCCTAAAATTTGTGTAAAAAATAAGGTACTTTGCCAAAAAAATGCCTAATTCCGATCATTTTTGAATTTCATCAAATTTTGGTCGAATTTTTCATATTAGGGGAAAATTGTTAAATGGTGAATTATTCTCCATAAAATTTCACTATGGGTCTCTGAATAAAATAAACCTCTAGATATAATAGGGTTCCCTGAAATTTTGGTAAAAAATTAGGTCTTTTTGTAAAAAAAATGCTCAATTCCGACCATTTCGGTATTTCATCAAATTTTCGTGGAATTTTTCAGTTTAGAGGAAAGATGTTCAAGCATAAAATATTCTCCATAAAATTACACTATTGGTCTCCGAATAAAACAAAGATCTAGATTTTATAGGGTTACCTAAAATTTGGGTAACAAAATAGGTATTTTGGCAAAAAATTTATAATTCCGATCATTTTTGAATTTCATCAAATTTTGGTAGAATTTTTCATGTTAGGGGAAAATTGTTAAAGAATAAATTATTCTCCATCAAATTTCACTGTGGGTCTCTGAATAGTATAAATTTCTAGATATAACAGGGTTGCCTGAAATTTGGGTAAAAAATTAGGTATTTTTGCAAAAAAAAGTTCGGAATTGGACATTTTGGTATTTCATCAAATTTTCGTGGAATTTTTCAGTTTAGAGGAAAGATGTTGAAGCATAAAATATTCTCCATAAAATTACACTATTGGTCTCCGAACAAAACAAAGCTCTAGATATTATAGGGTTACCTAAAATTTAGATAACAAATTATGTATTTTGGCAAAAATACCTAATTTTAACCATTTTTGAATTTCATCAAATATTAGTCGAATTTTTCACATTGGAGGAAAATTTTTAAAGAATGAATTATTCTCCATCAAATTTCACTATGGATTTCTGAATACTATAAACCTCTAGAAATAATAGGGCTCCCTGAAATTTGGGTAAAAGATTAGATGTTTTTGCAAAAAAATGCCCAATTCCGACCATTTTGGTATTTCATCAAATTTTCGTGGAATTTTTCAGTTTAGGGGAAAGATGTTGAAGCATAAAATATTCTCCATAAAATTACACTATTGGTCTCCGAACAAAACAAAGGTCTAGATATTATAGGGTTACCTAAAATTTGGATTACAAATTATGTATTTTGGCAAAAAATGCCTAATTGCGACCATTTTCGAATTTTATCAAAATTTCGTCGAATTTTTCATTTCAGGGGAATGTTTATAAAGAATAAATTATTCTCCATAAAATTTCACTATGGGTCTGTGAATAATATAAACCTCTACATATAATAGGTTTCTCTGAAATTTGGATAAGAAATTAGGCATAGAAATTGGATAAGAAATTGGGCAATAAAATGCCCAATTCCGACCATTTCGGTATTTCATCAAATTTTCGTGGAATTTTTCATTTTAGGCGATAAATGTCAATGAGTAAAATATTCTTTATAAAATTCTACTATAGGTCACTAAATAAAATAATCCTCTAGATATAACTGGGTTCCCAGAAATGTGGGTAAAATATTAGGTATTTTAGTAAATAATGCCTAATTGCGACCATTTTCGATTTTCACCAAATTTTCGTGGAATTTTTCACATTAGGGGAAAATTGTTAAAGGAAGAATTATTCTACATAAAATTTCACTATGGGTCTCTGAATAATATAAACCTCTAGATATAACAAGGTTGCCTAAAATGTGCGTAACAAATTAGGTATTTTTGCAATAAAATGTCTAATTCCGACCATTTTCGATTTTCACCAAATTTTCGTTGAATTTTTCACATTAGGGGAAAATTGTTAAAGAATGAATTATTCTCCATAAAATTTCATTATGGGTCTCTGAATAATATAAACCTCTAGATATAATAGGGTTCCCCAAATTGTTAGTAACAATTTAGGTATTTAGGCAAAAATTCATAATTCTGACCTTTTTCGCATTTCATCATATTTTTTGGTCGAATTTTCCATTTTAGGCAATAGGTGTCGATGAGTAAAATATTCTACATAAAATTTCATTATAGGTCCTTGAACAAAAAAATCTTTAAATATAACTAGGTTCACTAAAAATTCGGAAACAAATTAGGTATTTTTATAAAAATATCCCATTCCGACCATTTTTGAATTTCGCCGAATTTTGGTAGAATTTTTCACTTTAGGCGATAGGTTTCAATGAGTAAAATATTCTCCATAAAATTTCACAGTAGGTCTCGGAACAAAAAAACTCTATATATAACTGAGCTCATTAAAATTTGGGTAACAATATAGGTATTTGGGCAAAAATGCCTAATTCTGACCACTTTTGAATTTCACCGAATTTTGGTAGAATTTTTCACTTTAGTAGAAAGTTATAAATGGATGAAATATTCTCCATAAAATTTCACTATAGGTCGCTGAACAAAACAAACCCCTTGATATAACAGATTTCATTAAAAATTGGGTAAAAATTTAGCTATTTTAGTAAAAATATTCTATTCCGAGCATTTTTGAACTTCATCAAATTTTTGGTAGAATTTTTCATTTTAGGCGTTAGGTGTCAATGAGTAAAATATTCTCCATATAATTTCACTATGGGTACCTGAACAAAACGAAGCTCTAAATAAAACAGGGTTCCCTAAAATTTGGTAAAAAAAATTAGGTATTTTGGCAAAAAATACCTAATTCCCACCATTTCCGGATTTCATAAAATTTTCGTGAAAATCCTTTTGGTAGTCCTTTAAAAGTTATTTTTAACAAAATCTACACCTTGTAGGTCCTTTGAAAAATTATTTTTCAAAATACTTACCACCTTTTTCATTTAAAATTTTTTAAATAAAAAAATATTTTTTTTTTTTTAATTTGCATTTTCTTTTTTTATTTATTTTTTTTCAATTTTTTTTTCTTGGTTTGTTATTAATTTTTATTATTATTACTTATTTATATATATATATATATATATATTATTTTCATTATAATTTTTATTTATTATTATTACAAAATGTTTTTAAAACATTAGTACAATTACAATTTTACGATGTTAAGATGAAAAAATAAAATTTTTGTATTGTTTGTTGTTGCTGTTCTGTGTGAAATAGATAAATAAATAAATATTACATTTAAAATGTGTGATTTTTATTTTTTTCTTAACGCTCATATATAATAAATACAATTTTTTTTGGTTTTATTTTTTTCAAATATTCTTTGTGAGACAAAGTTATATATTTTTTATTTAAATTTATATTTTTAATTTTTTTTTTTTAATTACATACAGATTTTTTTATTTATTTTTTTTTTTAATTAACAATGTGTGTGGATTATACATTATTTTTTGAAAAAAAAAATAGAAATTAAAAAATATTTTTAAATTTGTTTTTTTTTGTTTTTCTTTTTTTTTGTTTCATTTTCCCGTTCTAAATGAGCGGTCGGCGGTGTTTCCGCTTAAATTCAAACTGTTGCAAACTTTTGTTGGTTTTTTTCTCATTTTTTTTAATTTTTTCTAATTTTTGTTCACTTATTCCCTATTTTGTTTTTTCTCTGTGTACTCTCATTCTATGCTCACTGTAATTTAATTTAACTAAAATTTCTTTTCTTGTCCTATATAGATTTTGTTAGCTATTTTTTTACCCATATATGTATATACTTTAACTATAATATATATGCATTTGTATGTGTGTATATATATATTGTATATATATATCATTAACGTTTACTTATCACTTGTTATTTTCACTTCACGTCACTTTGTATTGTTGTGTGTTTCCCCATGTTTTCGTTTTTCATCGGCTTTGAAATCACTTTTCATTTGCATTTCATTTTTTAACAGCTTCATATTTCTTGTTGTTGTTGTGTTTTTGTATACATTCGAAAAGAAAAACATAATGAAGGCAGTAGGTATGAAATATACATAAAACACTGTGCAGGGGTTTCATAAATATATATATATATATATATAAATAAATAAAATATAAAT